CTCCAAAAAAATTACAAATTTAAAAATCGCTAATTTTCGAAATTTTTTCAATTTTTTTTACTAAAAACTGCCGTAACTTTTAAAAAAAAAAACATATCAATATAATTCTTTTTTATATAGATGCATAACATCATTACCTTTCGTTTGGTATATTTTTTTCAACAATTTAACCCTTAACCTGCCCACAAGGGGGGATTTAATATGACAACTTTTTCACAAAAAATTAACTTTTTCAACTTAACTTTTGAAAATGTTCCGGAAGGTCTGACACTTTTATATATATCTTAAATTAAAGCTAATGTAATGTACTTTAATTTGAAAAAAAAAAATTTGACCTCTGGACTTGTCTTCGTGGTGAAAGTTGACATCAAAGTTAATAAAAAATTACGATTTTTGTAAAATAATTTTTTTTTATATTTTTAACTTAATAATGCTCTAACTTTTTCAAAAATGAACATATCAATATAATTTTTTTTTATATAGATGCTTGATGTCTTTACTTATCATTTGGTATATTTTTTTTGTAAATCTGACACTTAACCTGCCCACAGGGGGGGATTTAAAATGACAACTTTTTCACAAAAAATTTACTTTTTCAACTTAAATTTTGAAAGTGTTCCGGAAAGTCTGACACTTTTATATATATCTTAAATTAAAGCTAATGTAATGTTCTTTATTATGCAAAAAAAAAATTTCGGACTTTATTTTATCTTCACGATGAAAATGGCTACCGAATGCTATTATTATGTGAAAATTCTCGATTTTATTTTTAAAATTTTTAACTTTATAATGCTATGACATATTGAAAAGTGTATGGATCAACATTATTTTTTTATAAGAAATAATATTTTTTAATAATCCCTTTTTCATTCGACATACTTTATCTTAATTAGGATATTAACAATGAACTAACAGATCATGTAACTTTTGGAATAATCCACCAATTTTTAGCTTCGATGCGAAGCGGAGAAGGTATTAATTTTACTATGATGTTTTTTTTTTTTTTTATGTCTGTTGCCACTTTTTCTCAGCTCTCACTGGACTGATTTCTTTCAAAAATACGTCAAAAGATCACAAATCGTATCTAGTTGAAGACATTACCCTTAAAAATCTTACAAATTTAAAAATCGCTAATTTTCGAAATTTTTTCACTTTTTTTTCTTAAAAATTCCATAACTTTTGAAAAATCAACAAATCAACATAGTTTTTTTTTATACTAAAACCTTAGATATTTACCTTTCATTTGATATCATTTTTTTGAAAATCTATCACATAACCTGCTCATTGGGGGGGATTTAAAATAGAAACTTTTTTACAAAAACTAACTTTTTCAACTTAATTTTTGAAAATGTTCCGGAAATACTGCGTCCTTCAAACATATATCAAATTAAAGCTTATTTTATGTACTATAAAATGAAAAAAAAATATTTGTCCCGACACTTTTTCTTCTACATTTAAACGGCTGCCGTAGTTAAAAAAACACTATTTTTTTGTTAAAATTTTCGATATTCGATTTTAAATTTTCAGCTTAAAAATGCTATAACTTTTTGAAAAATGAATATATTAGCACAATTTTTTTTTCTATGTACATTATAAGTACATCTTTCATTTGACATACTTTTTATTAAAATTGGACAATTTCCCCTTATATAGGGGGCGTTCAAAACTTGAAATATTGTAAAAAACATAGATCGTTTTCAACTGAACTTTTGAAAATGTTCCGGAAATACTGCGTCCTTTAAACATATATCAAATCGAAGATTATATTATTACTATCAAATGAAAAAAAAAAATTTGTCCCGACGACCTATCTTCTATGCGCAAATGGCTGTCGAAAATTAAAAAAAAATGTAATGTTTGCGATAAAAATTACCTTTTATCGGGATGTTTTTTGTATTTAAAACTTCCATAACTTTTTCAAAAATGAACAAATAAAAATAATATTTTTTTGTATTGAAACTTTAGATATTTCCCTTTCATTTGATATAATTTTTTTTGAAAATCTAACACTTATTCTGCTCACTGGGGGATTTAAAATAGTAACTTTTTTACAAAAAATAACTTTTTCAACATAATTTTTGAAAATGTTCCGGAAATATTACGTCCTTTAAAAACATATCCAATTAAAGCTTATTTTATGTACTATAAAATGAAAAAAAAAATTTGTCCCGACGACCTATCTTCTATGAGCAAATGGCTACCATATTCAAAAATATGCTATTTTAACAAATTTTTTTTTTTTAATTAAACACTATCTACAGATTTGCATCGAAGCGTTTTTTATGATAGTGATTTTAATCACTGTCAAATATCATCTATACTGGACCCAACTATGCCACGACCCCACTGTGCTACCGTTTTTAAAATTAAACACTATCTAAAGATTTGCATCGAAGCGTTTTTTTTTTATAGTGATTTTAATTATTGTCAGATATCATTATACTTGATCCATCTATGCCACGCCACCACTGTGCCGCGACCCCCCTGTGCTGGGTTTTTTTTTTTTATATATAATTTTTTAGAAGAAGCAGTTTGATTCAATTTTTTTTATTAAAAGCAATAGTAAAATATACTTTCCAAATTAAATATCTACACAAATAATAGGAATATAGACTTGTTCTTTTACTGAATTAGTAATGATTTTTGGATATGATGGAATATTTGTTAATATTCTAATTTCTACAATTACATAAAATAATACAAGATTTGTAATTTTTATGGAAAAATAATGGATATAGAAGAAAAGTCACAAGTATTTAATTTATAAAAACAGTTTGATCAACAATTTAATTTTAATAATTTTGTTTTTGAGAGCGGTAGTATACGAGTTAAATTTAAAAAAACTAAAAAACTACTCCTTTTGGCTGACTTTCAACTCCAAGTCGGCATAGGCTAAACTCATCTGATACAGACCTGAAATTGTTTTTAGTTCCTTTTTATATATATACACACAAAATTGAGAGTGAACCCAAATATCCAAAATTAAAAATATAAGGAACACCCTCCTAGTGGTTATATCCAATTTATAATATTAATTATAAATTAAGAGGTTTAAAATTTTAACAATCAAAGAACATGCCTTTTGATTATAATTAATTAAGACCTTGGTTTTGTTATCATTAAATTATACATTGGAAGGGCTGTTCACCGCTAGGTGAACACACCAGTTAGTCAGTAGGTGGCCAGCGCTCCGTTTAGTGCGGTTGTAGTAGTGTGTGTAATTAAAATTAGTTTCATTAAATTAGTCTGTGCATTTGGTGAAATGTTTTATTTTTGTGTTTACTTTTGTTATTCAATTACTGAATAAATATAATTTGTATTTAATAGTTTGCACCACAATTTGTTTATAAAGAAACCTTTATCTTTCATTAAACCTAATTTAGATTATAAAACTAAAATTCAATAAGTTTTACCTCTTAATGTATATTTTCCAATTGAAGATAAGGGTCTATCATTTAGTGTACATGTTCTAGTTGGTCGTACATTACTAAATGGAGATTTTTTTCGACTAGAATAAGGCATGCTTGGAGTTACTGATCTTCTAGTCCTATTATTTATTGGTGGCAGTTTTTTCATATCACTTCCTTTATACTAAAATCAAAAATTTATTTACTGGCTTATAAAAATGTTTTAATTTCTTTATAATATTATTTACACTAAACTTAACAATAGTCTAAAAAAAAAAAAAACTAAAATCTAGACTTTAAAAATGTGTTATGTATTATTAAACAATTAAATTTAAAAAAATTTAAATGTTTTTTGTATGCAAGTTACAATAATGTTAGTATATAGACAATTATTCGGACAGGTGACACTACAACTTGGGGTTATCATACTAGAATCATTGTTTATTGTATGGAAGTAAAAAATAAAAAAATATCTACAATTTAAACGTTTATTTAATTTTTTTGAATTCCAGACTTTAGCTATATGTATAATCCTAATTAATGTGTTTTCTCTCAATGAAGATGAACCTTGTAAGAAAATATTTGTTTAAAATAAAAATTAAAAATAGGTAAAAACAGGCTGATAATCCCATGTATTTGTTATATAGTACCATGGATCACTATGTTTTTATTCAGTATCACAATGATAATTATTTGGTTGGCTGCTCTTATTGGAGCATATAGAGTAAGTTCCTAAAAATTTCTAGAATTATATTCTAGAGTTATATGAATATTTAATACTTTAGGAATCATACAAAATAATTTGTGCGACTACAGTACTATGGGCTATCTTTTTAACAGTATGGATATCACTAACAATAAGTTCATTATTTAAAAACAATAACAAGTAATCTAGAAAAATATTTTCAAAAACTTTTTATTTAGTAAGTCAGTTTTATTTTATACATATATACTTCTATCATTTAGGAGTATATGCTTAAATAATCGCTGTCCGGAAGTTTTATGGTTGCTAGAAAGTTCTTGGCATGATCATTCTGATAATGAAAATACTATTTATAATATAAAAGTTGATAAGTGGATGCAAGCACCACCATATCCAGCAATACCTATGGAATCTCAAAGTGAAGGTAAAATTGTTAAAAAGAAAAATTCAAAGAAAGCCAACAGAATAAGAATGGGATCAAATAATTTACATACGTCAATAAAACCAGAACCAGATTATACTGATCTATCAACTAATGAGAAAAAACCTATGATTAATACGCAGCCTCCCATAAGTTTCACAGTTGCAGCTTTAACTCAAAAAAAATTAGGAAGTCTTATTATTTCATTATTAATAACAATAATTAATTTATGTAAGTCCTAACAATTTTTTACAATAATTTGAATTATACAGAATTTCTTTTTACAGCACTATTTTTATTTTCATGGACTGTACTGTTTAGCTACCAAAAAGAAATACAGTGTCTCACTGATTGCAAATGTAATAACCAAAGAAAGTAAAACAAGATAGTTGAAAAAAATAATATGAAAATACTTCTATAAGCAGACATCAAGGTTTAATGACTTGTTTAAAAAATGTATAAAACAAGACTTCATGTTCAGTAATCTTTTTCAATAATTTAAAATTTGTTTAATTTAAAACACCATTAATGGTTAATCATCTTTCCTTTGGTTTTTTTTTTATATTTAAATTTAAATACTCAATAGAATAAGTACTAACTTATTTCATTATTTTATCTAAATAAAATTTGTGTGTGATTAAAGTTTTTATTTTATTTAGTTAAAAGCTATTTGATTACAATAATATAATATTATAATATGTATTAATTCAATTATATGTGAGGGGTCAAAGTGAATAATAGCAAAAATAATTAGATAGTAAAAAGTTAGTATTCATTGTAGAGAAATATTAATTTTGAGATAAGATGAGGTTTGTCTATACTTATGATACACTTCACCTATTTATTTATTAGTAAACAATTTTTAAATTTACATTATTGTATCGATGGACATGTGCTATGATATCTATACAAAATACATTCATGCTTACAAAGTTAACATTAAATATTATCAATTGTATGTATTTAAGGCTATCTGAATTTAAAGAATTGTCAAATCTAATCATGATTTTATTACAATATTTATGTAAAATTTTTCATCTAGTTTTTACAAACCATACATTATATGAACACCTTTAAACTAGTTTAAACAAGATAATTGACATAGTATCTTACATTCAATAATTCAAACATAGGTAAATATATTGTTAATGAAATGTTAAATACAATAATGTTAGTTTTTTTTTTTTAATCTGAGTGCCAAATTCCCGAAATTAATTGCTATTTCTTGTATTAGAGAGTACAGGTAATTTATGTATTCCAGTACAACAACAAAATCAATACCCAACTAGATAGATTAGTCACCTTCATGATTTATTATTACTCATATAAATGTATGACAATTAAAAATATTTAAGGTTGGTCGATAGCAATAAAATTTAGATATTTATTGAAAAAATAACAATAAAAATTAATTTAAAAAAATTAATTAAAACATATAAGAATTAAAAATATTGAACTTACATCACTTTTCGTTCCATCATCACCATCTGGATCAAGATCTAGTTCAGGTTCCAATATTTTAGACTTTAATAAAGCTATTCGTGTTACATCTATCCATTCATCATACCTAGAATTCCATCCTTTGTAATGGACATAAAATTTTTTAGCACCTTCAATGTCACACACATTCAGTACCTAAAAATAACAGTAATGAATATAAAGATTAAATTTACCATAACTCAAAATACATAGCTAAGAACAGTATATTTATAACTATATATAATAATATTATACTCTATATTGCAGTAATAAAAATATTATTAAGATTCCTATGAATAAACAAAAAATTAACACTCAAGAGTTTGTTATATCAACTTTCACAAAAATTATTAGCATAAAAAATTATTGTTATTCTGATAAAAAATTTTTTTGTTTTTCAAAATATAGTGATTCTTTTAACGCTAGCCACTCAATTTTTATTAAAAATATCATTATTTTATGAATTTGTTTTTCTTGCTCTTGTTAATTACATATGTAGTGCTATTTATCTGTTATAAAATATTTTCTATGTTCATTCCTTATCATCCATCTAAGTATTATGGAGCAACATACATAATTAACTAGTTTATAAAATAGAAAATGAAAAAATTAACATCATGAGTAGTTGATTACAACTTTTAAATTAGTATTTTAGAAGTTATTAATAATTTAAAACAATAACTGGTGGTGATGAGCTGCTATTTTTATCACTAATCATTTTTCGACCTCACATATAACTTCCCTTTTTCTCTCACATAGGTATAAAAATGTTATTAACTTCTAAAATACAGATAAAAAGTTATTATCAAGCAGACATTTTCCTAATTACAAGTTAGTTAAATATGTATACACCCCAAGACATAAAGAATGAACATAGAAAATATTTTATAACAGATAAATGGAGTAATGTAATTTAAAAATATTAAAAATATATATATTATTTTAATAGAAATTGAGTAGTAAGCTTTAAAAGAATCACTCTGTATACTATTGATTTACTACTTTATTGTATACCAATGATTGAGATTTATTTACATAATTTATAGCTGAATGAAATGAGCATTATTAGTTAACTATAGAAAAGCAAAGTCTACTTGGTTTTTTGGGGGGGGGGGGGGGGGAGATTTAAAAATAAAAAATACTATCTCCTATTATCATAAGCAGATATAATTGTTTTAACTTACAGTACAAGTTTTCATAATTTTTTAAGTTAATTTTTTTAACTAGTTTTAGCGAGGATATCTGAATGATTATCTATAAATTATAATTTTAATTGAGAAAAATTTATTTTTAGATTTTTGGCATTTATAACACTACTATGCCTAATATTTTATACTCAATGATTTACAAATAACAATTTTGTTTTACTGATAAGTTGATTACTTCATGAATAATAGTATACAGAGTTATATTGTAATAAATATATACTAATACACAAATATAGATTTCATTTTTCAATAGAATTAATTTTTAGATATTTTAGTTTAAAATATAAATAAAAAGAATACCTCTTAAAAATTAACGTCTATAAATTTTTGTTGATAACAATGTTCAATTTAAAAAAATTAAAAAACTTCATATCATTTTAGAAAAGTATGTTATTAAATTGTTAGTAAAACTTTTTTAATTATTTTAAAATAAAAATAATAATAAATATTACTTTAGCATCATAAGTAGTGGCATGTTTGTCACCATAATAGACTACTAAATCATCTCCAACTGCTATAGGTGTATCTTTGTCACATGAATCTATCTCGCTATTCCTGATTAAAATTTACAACAATTAATATAAGTAAGCGTATAAAATAAATAAAAACATTAATGAACTTACATAGGCTGAATATTTGATTCAGTTGATAAAGTTTTGTCATCTTTATCATCTTTTTTCTTTTTTATATTTTTTCTCTTTTCTAGTCCTTCATCAGATTTTTTAATTTTATTTAAATTTTCAGAAGGTGATGCACATGATAAAACCGGAAGTTGTATACGTTGTGTTTCATTATTAAGTACTGATAATTTTCGTAATCTTGGGGGTAACTCATCTTTAGACTTTGAACGTGTAACCTATAATTTAAAAACTATACATTAATATACAATAAGATTTAGCAGATCAATGTTTTATCCTTTAATTTTATAATTTCAATTAATTTTAGAAATTTATGAGGACAAGAAATCCTACATAGCCCAGCATGATGATATCAATACACATTTCATTTCTGATTAAGCTATGTAAGCTATCTATTTTTGCCCCTTTAAATTTATTTACTCATTTATTAACACTTATACATTTATTAATAAGAGAATTTATCTAAAAATTAAAACGTACCATATAATATTACAAATCATACTGGTATTGAGAAATTTTAATAATTAAAAATGTTATTTATATTAAAATTTTACAAAAAAAAAAAAAACAAGGAGACTAATAATTATACTATTAAATATATAAATTATAAATTAAATTATATTTATTTTACTTAATAAATTATTATGGCCATAAAATATATAGTTATTTAAAAAATTATTAAAAGAACTAATTATAAAGTTGACAAAATTAAATAAAATAAACTTTATTTAAAATTATATAAAAATTATTTCATCACAATTGGTTATAATTCAACTATAATCATAATAATAATAATAAATAACAACTTACTTTAGGAAACTCGTCATCTTGTTTTGATTGTGAAGTAGAATCCGATTGGCTGGTAGAAGCACCTCTTTTAGGTTTTTTAAATGATGGTGTCATACCTTTAACAAATGTTTTTATTTGTTCTTTAATAGATCTCATTTTTCTTACACCAGACAATCCAGTTTCTGTTGGTTTGATCCTTTCAACTTTTTCTTTTTTGCTATTTCGTCGAATTGACTTTCCAAAAAGATTCCTTGAATATTTTTTCTTTTCACTTTTTTTATCTTCAGATGTTTCACTTTCATCTTCATTTAAATCAAGAATTTCAATGTTTTCTTCTTCCTTTTTTATATCTTTTTGAGTTGTAGTTTCTTTAACTTCTTTTTTAACTTTGATATCTTTAGGAGACTCTTTTAAGTCTTCAATTTCAGTGTCCCATTTTGTGGACGTTTTAGGTCGTGAATTATTAACATCTTCTACTTTTATCATTTTACAAGATTTTTTTGATATTCCGAATTCTTTTAATGTTTCCAGATCTTTAATAGGGAATTCAGTTTTTTCCTTCTTTTTATCTAATTTTTTACCTGACTCTTCATTAGTTTTAATTGATGCAATTTTTTCATCTGTTTTCAACAATTTACAAGATTTTTTTAATGTTACACCTTCTTTAGAAACTTCTGAATCTTTTAAAACTACTTCTGGTTTGTCCTTCTTTTTTTCAATTTTTTTGGTAATATCATCATTTTTCAATGTTGTAACTTTTTCATCTGCTTTAAATATTTTTAATGACTTTTTAGATATCAATATTTCTTTTGAGGCATCTACTTCTTTAATGACTTCATCTTTATCTTTATCTTTTTTTTCATTTGATTCAATTTTAACATAAGAGCTAAATTGTTTGTTTTTTTCGGCACTGCTAAGTGATGTTCCAGGTAATGCTTTATCAACATCACGTATAATACTACGACTAAATCTACTGCGAGATCTTACTCCTCTAGGATGGCTCAACATAGTACACCCAAGTTTTCGATAAAAATCCTCAAAGCTATGCAAATACCTAAAATAAATAAATTGTTACAACACTGATTTATATATTTAAGTGTATATAATATTGTACAATAGAATATATGTTATTTGTTACTAGAACTAAATGTATACTATTAATTGAAAATTATTTACTTATCATATACAAATATTAAAGTCTAGATCAGTTTTTTTAAATTTTAAGTAAATTATGATAATCATGTAAATAATTAAACATAAAATAATTTTAATAATTTTATGAAAAAATTATTATTAGCAATATACTCCATACATAACTTATATTTTAAAAACCATACTAGAGCTAATAACCAATTTTATACTAAAAAATGTAGTTTCTAATTTTTAATTTTCTCTTTTGTAAATTACACTTAGGTATATTAAATTTTATAAAATGTGTAATACTGATTAATATTCATATATATTCCACACACAATATTCTTTATAAAATATGTTTTCCAAGTAACCATAATAACCATAAAATAGTTTTAATAAAACAATAAATTCTTATTACTTTTTTTTTTTAAATTAAGTAAAGTAATTATGATGGATATCAAATTATTATTGATTACAACATTATTACTTTTTACTCCATCAAATAGCAGTGTTATTCCAAAATTTAAAAATGAAATTTCAAATCTTAATCCTCAAATTCATTCAAATTTGTAAGTGTAAGAATTAAAAATTTATAAAAAAAAGTCCTTTAAACAATGAGCAATTCCAAATTGGTTATGAGTTTATTGGTATTTTAAATCATTAATGTTATTTAAAGTAAAATTACTATGAAACTGAAAAAAGAGAATAGTAGTATTATTAAACTTTTTTTTAATGTAAGTTTCATTTATTTGCAATATAGAGATAAAATTTTCAATGTAAATACACCGAATAATGATGTACAGTATGAAAGTTCAAATACAATAATTAAAGAACTTGGTAATTTCTTTTTTATTTGTAAAAAAATATAATAATTAATATAATTTGAAATCGCATAGAAATTTTTAAAGAACTCGTTGAACAAGCTTTATTTAATTTAACAAATAATGAACTACAACAATCATCAACAGACGATGCTCTTATTAAGATTAATAATGATTTAGATATATCCGATAAAAATATGTATGCACCATAAAAATATACATTAATTACAATGATAAATAGATTTTCTAATATTTATTCTAGAAAATCAGATATCTCAGCTAAACCAAAACATAAGTCAGAACAATTGAAAAATAAAGAAACTAAACAAATAGATTCACAAAAGGATGAATTAGGTAAAATTTTTGATTATAAATTATAGACTTATTTTTAGACAACAGTTAATTAAAGATTCATACAATACATCAATTATTTAAAACATTTAGGACTAAATTTAAAATTGGACATTTCTTTTTTGTGTGGATCAACAATCATTTAATATTAAGATATTTTTTAAATATAAATAAAAAGTTAAATACACATAATTAACTTCAGCATTACCTTTTTATAAATAATAAAACAATTTAAAACAAGCCAATATACTATTGACAATAGTATTCAATTTTGATACAAAAATTTATATCAATAAAAAATATGGTATTGTAAAATATAAAACTAAAATTGTTTATATACAGAATAGTTTTGTCCTGTATTTATAAAAAATGTATGACATGCGTACTTTTGCTTCTGGACTACTGAAATATTATATGCATTTTAATAGAATACCAGTATATTTATAGATGGTATTCTATTAATCTGATTGTAAAGTCAAATATAAAAAATTCAATTCATATTGAAATTCTAATTAAATTTATTATGAAATCTCAATCATATTTTATGTATCACTATTACTGTATAGTAATCACTATATTACTTATTACTATATTACTCTTGTATATATTTTTAATAAAAAGTTTTGGTACATAAGAAATGAAAAATTTTACAGAAGATAAAAAACAAATGAAATAATTCAATAGTACGAGGAAATAGTTGTTGTCATAATTTTTTTTTAGCATTTAAACATCAAAACTTGATAAAAGCCACAAAAATGAGTTTTTATCAAAAAAAAAAAAATTAGATATTTAAAATAAAACCGTAGTCAAATTTTAAATAGTTAATTAAAATTTTTTAATAAAATTAAATTTATTATTTCACTGAAAATACAATAATTGTATTTTGAATACTATTTAATAAAGTTGCACATTTGTAATTATTAAAAATATACAGTTTTATTAAACACTAATTTGCTAAAAACTATTTAAGTAAAAAACCCTACTAATTTTAATGTTATTTATAACATTTTCTTTGTTAAACAGATCTCCCCTAATATTGATTTACTAAATTGATTACTACACATATTAATTTTTATTTATAATAGAAAAAATAACTATTTGCTTTTTGTCATATTTACAGATGGTTTAATTGATACAATTAAAAAGAAAATAACAAACATCACAAAAAGTTCAAATAAGTCAAGTACTTATTCACCAGATAAGAAAAAATTAAGTCAAATTCATTGTATTCATAAAGGTCACTTATGCGAGTACTGTAACTCACCTAAATATTTATTAAACAGTGATGATAAAGCTAAAACTTGGTGCTTAAAAAACTGTAAAACTTGTTCTTGTTGTTACAAAAAGGCAAAAGAATAAATTTAACTAAAAAAGTTTGGATATTAAGTTAAGAAATTAATCTGTTACTTTTCACTTATGTAATATCTAACTAATAAGAGCAAATAGTAATTATTACTTTTGTACAGGAGTTTATATTTTAAATAGATACATTGCTTTTTTTTTTTTTTGTATTTGATTGTTTAATGTTTATTTTAAATAAATTTAATTGACACTACTCAATAAAATAAATAATTTTTATATGAATTGGTTTTTATATAAATCTCTTTTATTAATTAAATGATGACATTATTGTCGAGTTTTAGTAGTAAAATAAAACAATACATTTATAATTTTATAGACCTCTTCTATAAAATTATAAGTGTATGTGAAAGAATATGGTTGAACTAGAAATCAATCGTAAAAATAATAAGCTCAAATTAAAAAAATAATACTTTTAGTAGAATTTTAATACTTACTGTTGATAAGCTTGTTTGACAGAAAAGACAGACTGCTCATGGCCGATTTTCTGTGCAACTGTTTTCCATTGTTTACATTTACCTACCTTATTAAAGCCGCCAAGATTATTAACAACCTTTAACACCAATAAAAACTTTTGTAATTTGCATTCAACAAATATATGGTTAAAAAATATATGTAATAATTACCTTAAATAATTTATACAAATCAACATCTTTTTCATTTATCATGGGTGCTTGATTTAAAGGTGTACCCCTATCATCCATAAATTTAAATAATTGTGCCACAAAATGATCTTTCTCCTCAATAGATTCTTCATCAGAGTTCTTAATTATAATAATTTTATATATTAAAATTATGTATCATCATTAATTAAAGCTATTTTTAAAAAAATTACATCACTATCAGAGGCGCCTTCACTATCTGTTGTAATACAATTCTTTTCAATTCCAAATAATAGATCTCGGTCCCAGTGAGGAGGTAATTCATCTTTATCAAGATATAATATTGCTTTTTCAACAGCTAAAACATAATTTAATATAAAAAATTAATGTAAAAAATATTTATAGTATAAGACAAAATTTGTCAACAAAATCTGATGAGCTTATGGGAGCATATTGACTGCATTAAAGCTAATTGATGTAAGTAACATTTTACCAAAAATGGTCAGACTCATTTGATTTGAAGTATCCATAAGTTACTTTCATGTTTCAAGAAAAATAAAAATTATTAATAAAAATGTTGCAAAAGTAAAAAAAATACACTTAATTAAAAGTACATACCTATACCTATTTCTAAAAATATTTTGATTTAAGTCATTCATTTTCAGAAAATGTTAGGTTAAAAAATGATAAATATATCAAATTTCATTGCAAAAGAAGCAAGACCACCTACCTCACATGGTCAAAATAAATTAGCAACACTATTATATGTAAAATTACGTAGGGAATCAAATTGTGAACTCAGAATTTTAATAAAGTCTATAGATAGCGTACTAATCAACTAAGAAAACCATTATTTCGCTCTCCTGTAAAATTGACAAAAATGAAATAGGTGATGCTACTTCTTAGACAGCAATTTTAAAATATAATGTGTCAAAAAACATTTTTTTTAACATAATATAATATTATAAAAACATTATTTTAAAAAAAAATTTTCTTAGAGTTCTTAAGCAAAAATTTGTTAATTTCAACAATGAATTTTTTTCAGAAGAATGAGAAAAATTTTTTCAAATTTTGAGAGTAATGTTTTAAATTTCTTAAACTTTGTAATCTTTTAAGACATTACTGAGAAAAATCAGTTCATTAAGAGTTGATACTTAAAATAAAAGACACAAAAATAAAATTAATACCTTATTAACTTCGGATCAAAGATAAAAGGAGAAAAATTAATTAGAAACTAAAAAATAGATTTCATCAAAAATTTTTGTAGAAAAACACTACTTTAAATTTTGTAAGTCAGTTCTAGTTTCTTAGGTTAGTGCTCAAGAACCTCCAAATTTGTTTGGAAACTTATAATCAGTCACACTATGTTTCTAAATAATTTCTATGAGCATTTACTCTGTTTACATAAAATCTAATAATAATCTATTCTGACACTATAATTTTTATAAAAATAATTTGAATACCAGTCTTCAAAGTAGGATTTTCCACTTTAGCAGCAATTTCTTTTGTAAATTCTGTGATTTCTTTTTTTGGAACTGTATAACTATTAAAAAAATTATTATCAATAATTATTAAAAATAGTTATTATCTTTTCATCATAATAACTCAAAAGCTTAATATTTTTATAAAACTTACTATTTTCCATCTTTAAAAGAACGAACCAAGTAATCTTCTAATACATTTGTTTTGACTGCAGATTGTGCTGTAGGTGCTACTACTAAACCTGGAAACCAATTGTCTCTTATTTTTTTTTTATCATTAGCTTCAACACAAACAACTTTCCCAATATCTTTTTCTTCCATTTCTATATTTTCTTCCTCTTCACTTTCCCTTTAAGTTAATTAAAATATTATACATTACATTTTATTTATTTAAATTCATATAATTTTTTATCTACTTAATAAAATTTCTAAAAAATTAATTATTACTTATTGCTAAAGAAAAAATATTGATTTTTTGAAAAATATTTTGATGAAATACCATAGGCGTGCACATGGAAAGTGCCAACAGATATATGCATTATATTATAACGTAAAAAAAACAAATCACCTTTATAAACACAAATGTAAAGTTTGAAGTTTAATTTTTAAATTCAAAAACTTGTTTCTAAAATTTTAAAACATTAAATGTTGCATGTACATTTATGTATTTAAATTAATTCTATATTCATACCACATTTTTTCATTGGTCTTAATTTTGAGACCCAGCTATCCAAACTATCCTTCCAAAGAAATAAGCCCAATCTATCAGAACCATTACAAGTCCTGTCAATTCCATCAATTGAATATATTTTAAGTATTTAACCCTACACATTTTTAACATAATAAAGGGCTCAAATAATTGTTTACGAAGTAGTCATATATATTTTTCCAATTACATATTATAACTCAGCATATTTTATTTATCAGCTCATAACTCAACATATCTAAATTTTTATACCACCAATGCCCAATTTAAATGTTTTTTTAAGCCCAGTCTAACCTGGATCAATAATATAAATTATAATAATATAAAACCTGGATAATAATATAAATATAAATTTAATGCCCATCGAGGCCTAGTTTAACTGATTTTATTTAAGGCCCATTTCAGCCCATCTTTTGGGCTAATTCCATCCATGGAATTAGGTCATTAAGAAATTAAATTTTACAACTTAGAAAGTTAACATATCAATAATATATGTATTAAGGATACACAGGAATATAGGGAATTGCTGTGGAATGTCTGTGAGTACATAACTGTTAGCTATACAGCTATAAACTGTACGACTTTGCCCCCTATTGAACTACTGAAAGTCGAAAAAAGGTGCATTTTATACACCATCTGAATGATCTTGGCTAGACAGTGGCTTTAACTTCTAATAACTTTTGTATGGCTGGATGAGGAGCATTGTCGATAATTGGAGGAAGCTAGATAGGATGTTAATCTTCCAAAAATCTAGAAAATATTATTTTTAATAATATAAAATATTATCTAGTATTGAGCCATAGATTTTTTCTGCGTACTACCTGATATTAAGCCTGCGCACGCCTATGTAAGATATTTAAAATTATTAAAAATAAGATTAGATAAGTTTAATTTTTAAATTTATTATACCCAACACTTTTAATATGTTTTCTACTTCTTCTTCCATAAACAATACTATTTCGAGTTGGAGTACCAATGTGCTCAGGATGAGTAAGAGGAAGTTGGTCAAGGGTTGCACTAGCAGCAAAATGTTTTCCACTTTTTAAGCATAATGCAGATCTCTTCAAAGAAGTTATATCACCATCATCAAACACTAAAAATTAATAAATTATTTCTTTTGTTGGAAAATGTATTCATTATAAATTATGTAAAGTATATAATTTTTATAAAACTTAAAGAGGTCTAGTTAGTCTATTAGTTATCTCAATTACACTGATATTGATTACATAGGATCATAAAAAGTTCTAAATCTGAATTCTTACTTATAGATTATCAAAATTTCTTGAATAACAGTAACATAACTACTATTACATGGTGCATTACCATGAATTCTTAACTAATTGATACCAGATATTACAATATTCAAGGAATATGTTGTTGATGTTTCAAAAATGAGAAGGCTTCAGCTCCATGACAATGTAGACCTTATATAATTTTAGCATACCTAAGATATTTGTTTTAGTTGTATTACTACATATAAATTGGAATTGGCATACAAATTCCAAATCTTAAAAACTTAGTTTCTATTAAAATAAAGTTTAAATTAAAATGTAATGTTTTAAAAATACAATGCACTAATACATAAATATTTAAAATTAATATCATACCTTAATGCATAAAAATAAAAAATTGTGATGATTTAAAAAAAAATTCTAGGAGCTAAGCCTGATAATATTATTATGGAGCTTGACTATTAAAAAATTATTGTACACATAATATCAATTATATACAATAAAAAATACTAACGAGTCAAAAAATATTGGTAAAATAGCATATAAAGCATGTGTAAAAGGAATTTGAATTAAAAATGATTAGGAATAACTCAAAATTAATTTTAGCTTCGATGCGAAGCTGAGAAGGTATTAATTTTACTATGATGTGTTTTTTTTTTTTGTGTGTCTGTTACCACTTTTTCTCAGCTCTCACCGAACCGATTTCTTTCAATGATACGTCAAAAGATCACAAATCGTATCTAGTCAAAGACATTACCCTCAAAAATTGAAAAAATTTCCCTCGTTCCCCGTAAATGGGGGAAATCTCCAAAAAAATTACAAATTTAAAAATCGCTAATTTTCGAAATTTTTTCATTTTTTTTTACTTAAAACTGCCATAACTTTTTCAAAAATGAACAAATCAATAAAAAAAATTTTTATAGATGCTTGATGTCTTTACCTATTATTTGGTATATTTTTTTTTTTTTATAAATTTAACCCTTTACCAGCCCACAGGGGGGGATTCAAAATGACAACTTTTTCACAAAATATTAACTTTTTCTACTTAAATTTTGAATGTGTTCCGGAAAGTCTAACACTTTTATATATATATATCTTAAATTAAAGCTACTGTAATATACTTTATCATGAAAAAAAAAAATTTCGGACTTTATTTTGTCTTCACGGTGAAAATAGCTACCGTATGCTATTTTTGTGTTAAAATTCTCGATTTTATATTTTACATTTTTAACTTTAAAATGTTATAACTTTTTGAAAAATATATGGATCAATACAATTTTTTTATGAGAAATAATATTTATATACTTCTTTCATTCGACATACTTTTTTTTTAAATCGGACCATTTCCCTTAATACAGGGGGTGTTCAAAACATAAAAATGCATAGAGAAAGTAGAACTTTTTCAACTTAATTTTTGAAAGTGTTCCAGAAGTACTGATACTTTTATATATATCTTAAATTAAAGCTTATGTAATATACTTTAATATTAAAAAAAAAAATGTTGGACTTTATTTTGTCTTCACAGTGAAAATGGCTATCAAATGCTATTTTGTGTGAAAATTCTCGATTTTATTTTTTACATTTTTAACTTTATAATGCTATAACTTAATGAAAAGTGTATGGATCAACACAATTTTTTATGAGAAATAATATTTTTTAATAATCCCTTTTTTATTTGACATACTTTATCTTAATCAAAATATTAATAAGGAACTAGCAGATCATGTAACTTTTGGAATAATCCCCCAATTTTTTAAAATTAAACACTATCTAAAGATTTGCATCGAAGCGTTTTTTTTTGATAGTGATTTTAATCACTATCAGATATCATTATACTTGATCCAACTATGCCACGACGTCACCACTGTGTCGCGACCCCCCTGTACTGTTTTTTTTTTACGTAACCAAATTGAATTTACATGAAAAAATATGTCAGTTCTTATTTGGATTTATACTGGTATACTTAAAATTTACCATAGAAATTTGTGCCGCCACCCCACTGTGCTGGGTTTTTTAATTAACACTAATATTTTTTTTAAATGAAAATTTTATATAAATGTGATTTACCCTGACTTTAAAAAGCTATTTTTTTAATTTAACATACAGCTTTGTAGTATAATAAAATTTCAACAAATTATTGCCAATTAATTGACAATTATGTTTTTCATGTTATTTTAAAATTTTTATTTAATTGCCTAGTAAACACTTCACAATAATAATACAAAATTATTAATAAATTGTTAAAAATTTAATCCAAGTATGAAAAATGGATTTAATAAAAGTTTTATTTCCTACCAACAGTATATTGACTATGATCCTGAATCTTTTGAATTGTTCCTTCTAGTAGTTCTTTTTTATCATTACATTTGATTTCAATATTCGCTCCAATCTATAATAAATCACATTAATTTTCAAAACTTAATAGTTTGTAAACTAATTAAGGTTTTGAAAAATATGAAATTAGTTACTAACCTTAATTTGCCCCTTTATTAATTCATCAGGAACTATTGCAACCAATCCGTTAGTATATTGAACCTTAATACATTTAAGACAAATTTTAACATTTATTTTTCTAATTAATTTAAGGTAAAAAATTAATTTTATAAATTTATGTACTAAAATGTTACAAACTAACTTTGCATTTAACTGATTTGGAGATTTTCCGTATTTTTGCTTCACAAAATGCTCCTTTATATTTAGCACTGACTTCTGTACCAACAGTAAGAAATGGTGGCTCATCTAAATGCACCTGATTGTAAAATTATAAATTTAATTGGTATAGAATAAAAAAAAGTATTTAAGATAAACACTCGTAAATTGGTAAATATTTAATAGATTGCATGCATTAGTAAAAAAACAAAAAATATTAATAAATATAATTAATTAAATTGCTTTACCATAAAAATGTAATATTATTAATAGTATCGAGTTAATTATAATTCAAAGAATATGACTCTAAACTCTAACAGTAGCACACAAATAATATTAGCCCATGTTTTTAAAAATTATATTGTATTGCAAAACTTAATTTAAAATTTTTTATCTTGTAATCTCCCAAATTGGAAGTTTAAGTCTTTATTTTAATGAATTATTTATACACAATTTTAAACCTGAGTTAAAAATTTCCTTTTTGCTTCTAAAAGTTTAGTTGATTCCATAGCAAAATTCTACACACACCATATAACTGTACTTATAATTTAATTAAAAATTATATATTGTAATTCAGAAATCCAATTTATGAATTAAAATTTAATTTTGATTGATTTAAGCTCATCATCATATTTCATAAATTATATGGAAGTACATTTTTATTAGTAAAGTAGAAAATAGCCAAATTTAAATAAATTAACATATAATTTAAAATGGTGCAAACCTTTGATTAATATAAATTTTAGTATACTTAACTTTTACAATATTTCTTAGCAAAATTCTGGTTGATTACATTTTTCTTTACAAAGATATATTTTTTGTTATAACATGATAATAAAATGATGAAATGTTCTTTCCATGAGGAGTAAATTAAATAATGTACATTAATTTAAAGTTAATGAATGTTCTCTAACTATAGAAAGCTCCCTATCAGTTTATTTTGTAAAACTATTTAAAAATAGAATTAGTATTTGTGAACAATTTCCAAATAAAATACTAAAAATAAACCAATATCTTTTTTCTTTGATTAATTTAATAAGAAAATCAACCAGAATATAAATTTTTAAGATTTCCAATACACTAAGTTTAAATATTAGATAGGTAACATACATTATATAAAAACATACGACCATACTACATGCTGATTTCCATTTAAGACAATTGAATTAATGGAATGACAAGCAGATGCATGTAGTAGAATCCGTTCTTATGTCATCTTTTTCATTCTGAAAATAACCCATGGTTAAACACAACTAGGTTCATTTATTCACTTGTATAATTAAGTGCAATCATTACCAAGTTGAGAAACCAACTATAAATGAGAAGGATATTTAAGTATAGCTTACTTAGCTACAATTATTAGTACCTATCAATTAATGGAATATTAGTTTTAACTAAAGTTGCCATGTTAGAAATATTTTTATGCCTTCATTACTAACAAGTTATATTTAAAATAATAAATATTGTTATAATCATTAGAAATTTATACCTATCTTATAGTCCTTTAATATATCTCTTTAGAAAACAACTTATTCAATCTAACTAAGATTTACATAAATTAATATTTATAATAGCAAATGAAAGAAAATTGTAGAAATATAGATTAGATTAAGACTTCTATGAAAAAATTAAATGTTTTACTTAAACATCAATTAAAGTTAGAAGCAAGATGAGACAATGAAGGTAATACAGTCTCTTAATAAAAGATCTGAATAATTAAAATATGTTTAGTCATTTTATTTTATGATCAATTTGTTCTTATTATATTGTTATAAAAATCCCCAATGATGATTTAATCATTTTATAAATTTAAAATATATAGCATGTCTCAGATTTAACATGACAATGCTTATAACTTATTATGCAATTATATATAAATTTGTTAAATATTTTTTAAAAAATAATTATTACTTCCTTAGTCTAAATAACATATATTCTAAGATAATATGCTTTATATTATATAGCATATTTTTTATTATTTATTAGAAAATCAATATTACAAAATTAAATTAAAATTTTTTTTTCAACATTTAAAAATAGCCATTTTTAAGCTTTTTTTTTACAAAAAATTTTGTTAGATCAATATTAGATAGGTATTCATTGAGTTTCAAGCATATTTATACATAGAGTGGCTATGGAACTTGAGTGGAGCACTAACGTACATTAGTACAAGCTGTATCACTCACACTACATACCTGCTTTATGTATTAATATCCTTATAACTCCATGAGTATACTGGTGAGTCAACTGAATATAATTTTTTTTACAAATAATTTGAAGTTGTACAAATTTATAGAAAGTAGATGGGGCATTTAACCTGAACAAATTCAGGTCAATTTAGAAACAAAACCAGAAGTAATATTAGGGTCATAAGTTATAAGCGTGTTTGTTAGATCTGAGATACGTGTATGAACAAATATATATATCTTCAATTCTTTTTCTATGTAGAAATAAATATTAAAAATTTGTGACAAATATTAACAGCACATAAAATGAATACTTTGTATTTATACTATGATTCTTTTCAATTCTTTGAGAAATAAAGACCTATATATTTTTATTAAATTTAAAATTGCAGTACTACAAATAATAGTAGTCAATTGTATTAAAATATTTTTTTTTCTTAAGTAATGAAATATGGCTACATTTTTGGCTCTTACAATTGTTCTTAACCAGAAACTCAAAAAAATTATCCAGGCTCGGTATTTAAAGTGCTAAAAACACTACAAAAATGGGCATGAAAATCAAATAAAAATCAGTGAAATATACTATTAAATATGCACTAAAAATAGTATAATATTTAATTAAAAAACTTTAGCAAGTTACTTGTTTTACATGATTATTTTTTTATATTTTAAAATATGTATAATTTGCTCTATAAAAAAATTGCCACAAAACGACCTAAAACGTCATTATTTTCTATCAATGATCATAAAAAATTATACCTTTTTTTTATACCTAGACCAGATATAAAATGTATTTATTCAAATCAATGTATTTCATTGATCTACTTAATCAATGAAATACACTATATACTTAGAATTTTTATGAAATATATCTTCTTTTATAACAAAAAAATACACTATAAAAAAAATACTACAGATAAACCCACACTGGTTAGAAATAAAGTAAATTCTATCGTGGAAATAAGTCGTAACTTGAATTTTTAAGTATTTGGTATTTAATACTTTATTATATATTATTTTTTATTTAATTGTAGTTAACACAAACCATTTATTAAAATAATAAATAGATAACTTTTAATAAATTTCATTATTAAGTAAAAATAATTTTTGTGATAATCAAATGAGGAATTTATTATATTTATTTATTAATATAAACATTTTTGTAAATGTAATTAAATAGAGTATTTGCTATTTTTTTAAATTATAATTTGATCTAAAAATATTTATTGATTATATTACTAAAAATGAATTCCATTAGTATGAAATATAAAGTAATAAATATTATGGCAACTCTAGCATTAAAGCAAACAATGTAGAAAGTTTGAGCCAAAATATATTAAATCATAACATGATATTCAAAAAAATATTATAAATAAAAGCATATAATACAATAATTAACTTAAAATAAATAACTAAAACTAATAATTTACTATAGAAATCATTTCTGCATGCACAGCTGCACAGTAATTTAAAAATAAGTGATATTTTAATACAGATTATCTTTGTTTTATAAATCTTACTACACACACTTAAAAAAATTAATTATTAGTCACTTATTGCGTGAGAATGACATATGTTGATTTATAATTTAAATAAAGAAGTATAATTTGTAAAAACAATGATAAAGTGTTATAAAAAATGTTACGTTTTCTCATCAAATTTTTTATCATAATATTAATGCAGATTTGAGTATGATGAAAATGATTATGAATTGAACTGATTATTATAGTGTTAATAATTGACTAAAAAAAAATTTTAGCACACACCAAGAATTAAAAGTATAGTATTAATTGTTACAAATCTAGAGGATTATAATTATTATATTATTATATAAATCAAACTTGTTATATGATAAACTGCAATATTTCATTTAATACGGCATTGAATCCTCATATAATTAAACGCCACATTAGCTCATAATTATTAAGTACTATAAAAATAATCTTGATACTAAATTACATTTGATATTATAACCATTTTTTGTAATAGTTATAATATGTTTTAAAAATCAATCATTGTTTATAGAGTAAACAATATAAAAAATAAACAATAAAATTGAAATAATATTATCACATGAAAAAAAATTGAAAAATTCAACAATAAAGAAAAAATAACTAAACATGATCTATTTAAAAAAATTAAATTTATATTTCATCTCTTGAATTATTAATCAAAAATTATATTTATGTTTGTTAGAAAGAATTAATGATTAAAGTCAATTAACCCGATGATAGAGTCTTTTAGCAAACATTTAATTAAACAGTAATGTTATTAGTTAAAAATTAAAAATAAAAAAATAATTAAGCTAAAAACTAAGCTAATTCAACATTATAAAAAAAAATTGTTGTATTAAAAAACATTTAAATTTTAATGCACTCTAATATTTTTCATTTAAATACTTATTATTTTCTCAGAAAAATACTTAATAATATTATATACCATGGCATCCATTATATTTCATAATTTTATTAAAAATATATGTTAATCATTCCAATATTTTACATTTATTATTATTATTATATTTATAACTTTGACAGCTGTTGCCATTGGTGATTTTTTTTTTTTTAATAATGCATTATTTCTATATTATTATTATTATTTTTTTTTTTTTTGGCTTAAACTCTCTATTTAATAATGGATTATAAATCATTATTATAAAACTTAATTAAGAAAATTAAATTAGTAAAATGTACTATTTACTCACCATAGTTATTTTTCAGAATGTATTATTTACATCAAAATTATATTATATTATCTTAATCCATTTATCCACTAGACCATTTGGTTTACCTTAAAAAAAATAAAAGTAGTTTTAGTACAGTGCTATAAATTAGAGTAAATACAAAATATAACCACTATAGTTTTTGAAGCTACAAGATTTTTTTATTTCAATAAAACAAAAATAAAGGTCATTAGTATATTATACAAATTAATTTAATAACTATAAACCGTAATATATTATTTAATGGTTTTAAAAATTAACATTAATGTTATTGAAGCATGTTTGATTAACTTTTTTTTTTTATTTATGAAGCCCTGTGCATGCTATGCATGATGATTATTGTCTAGTAATTCTATATGTACTTAGTGAAGTTCATCTAATAAATTACTTTTAATTCATTTATAAGTAATTGTAGTGCTTATGAACCATTTTCTCTTATAATTTCATTTTTGCTATAAACTGTCATGGAGTTGTTTTCCTGATATAGTAATTTAATACAATTTATAACATAATAGATATTATTCCATTAAAGTTACTATAAGTGACACCATAATAATAAGATATATTAGTTTTTAAAATTTGAATTAAATTATCAACTGATCACAAACTGTATTACTATGAATCTAAATCATGCTACATATAAATAAATTAACATAAATAACATTACCCACTGAAGTATATCATTATATATTTCATGGACATTATAAAGAGAATTATAAATAAAAACTAACATAATCTTAAAAAAATTCCGATGTTTTCACTAATATTTTATATTTAATTAGTTTAAATAATTTCAATCGACCAACAAATATCTAAAATTACACAATTAAAGCAATTATTTGAACACAAAAATTGTAGCACTTACTTGTTAGAAATCAAATTGAACAATTGTAGAATAACTAAGAAATACCCTATGACTATAGATTCATTAACAACATTTACATAAACAAAATTGTGCTACTACGAACAAATAACAATAATAGACAACAGTTCATTCTTTAATTATATTTAGCAGTTCACTATTGATAAAGATATTAAATTTTAGGACGCTTCACTATAAGTGATATGGTGATATATTTGTTTTTTTATTACATTACAGTAATACCTCACTTACACTAAGGAGATAGTAGCCACTAGATATGGCGCGTAAAAGTTCACATTATTTTACAACAGATTACTGTTGTTGAATTACGATTTTACTTATAAACAGCTGTCAGAAACCAATAGTTTTCTAAAGCGACATCTAGTAGTTTATAAATATGCTTAATACAGAATAAGAACACGCATACGGAAAAGGAAACATTGATATTACAATTTTTTTAACATTATGGAATTATTCGTAGAAAAAATATTTAACATGAATGTAAAAAAAAACCCAGCACAGGGGGGTCACGGCACAGTGGTGACGTGGCATAGTTGGATCAAGTATAATGATATCTGACAGTAATTAAAATCACTATAAAAAAAAAACGCTTCGATGCAAATCTTTAGATAGTGTTTAATTTTAAAAAATTGGTGGATTATTCCAAAAGCTTCATAAACTGCTAGTTCCTTATTAATATCCTGATTAAGACAAAGTATGTCGAATAAAAAAGAGATTATTAGAAAATAGTATTTCCCATAAAAAAATTATATTGATCAATACACTTTTCAATAAGTTATAGCATTATAATGTTAAAAATGTAAAAAATAAAATTGAGAATTTTCACACAATAATAGCATTTGGTAGCCATTTTCACCTTGAAGATAAAATAAAGTCCGAAATTTTTTTTTTCCATGATAAAGTATATTACATTAGCTTTAATTTAAGATATATATAAAAGTGTCAGACTTTCCGGAACACTTTCAAAATTTAAGTTGAAAAAGTCAATTTTTTGTGAAAAAGTTGTCATTTTGAATCCCCCCCTGTAGGCAGGTAAAAAGTCAGATTTATAAAAAAAATATACCAAATGATAGGTAAAGACATCATGCATCTACAAAAAAAAGAATTATATTGATCCATACATCTTTCGAAAAGTTATAGCATTATAAAGTTAAAAATATAAAAAAGAATCTTTTTACAAAAATCGTATTTTTTTCATTAAGTTTAATGTCTGTTTTCACCATAAAGATAAAATAAAGTCCGAAATTTTTTTTTACCATTATAAAGTATATTACATTAGCTTTAATTTAAGATATATATAAAAGTGTCAGACCTTCCGGAACATTTTCAAAAGTTAAGTTGAAAAAGTTAATTTTTTGTGAAAAAGTTGTCATTTTAAATCCCCCCCTGTGGGCAGGTTAAGTGTCAGATTTACAAAAAAAATATACCAAATGATAGGTAAAGACATCAAGCATCTATATAAAAAAAAATTATATTGATATGTTCATTTTTAAAAAAGTTAGGGCAGTTTTTAGTAAAAAAAATTGAAAAAATTTCGAAAATTAGCGATTTTTAAATTTGTAATTTTTTTGGAGGTTTCCCCCATTTACGGGGAACGAGGGAATTTTTTTCAATTTTTGAGGGTAATGTCTTCGACTAGATACGATTTGTGATCTTTTGACGTATCATTGAAAGAAATCAGTTCGATGAGAGCTGAGAAAAAGTGGTAACAGACACACAAAAAAAAAAAAAAAACACATCTTAGTAAAACCAATACCTTCTCAGCTTCGCATCGAAGTTAAAATCATCACATTTGAGTACCAAACTAGAGTGGTCTGAAAACAAAAATTAGGCGTTTAAAAAAATTGAATTTTTTTTTTTCAAATTTTTTTATGTTTTTTTAAATAGAATCATCACAAAGTCATCTACGCTTATTTTTACCCAAGTTAGAGTTATAAAATTAAACATTTTTAACATCGATACTTAGTGAAGAAGCTATTGGTTTTACTATGCTATGTTTTTTTTTGTGTCACAATACACGATTATCTTGCTCCTACTAGACCGATTGGTTTACGATACGTCAAAAGATCACAAAGTTGAAGCTGCCAGAGCCATAATTTTGAAAAAATTTTCTCAATCCCTGTATTAAAGGGAAATGACCTTAAAAATTATAGCTGTTATAAAACATGTTGTTATTTTAATTTTTCATTTTATATTGGAATAACTTTCTTAAAAATTGACAGATCATTGCTAAACATTTATTGGCAATACTTTAGACAGTTACCTTATCAATGAGATACTTTTTTTGAGAATCCTATCACAAGCCTAAGTATTTAAAACAATACAGTTGACACCGTTAAGAGGTATAAGAAATTAAAAAACAAAACAAATTTTACTAACATAATTATTATTATTAATAATAATTATGAGAAATTGGGTAGCTAATGTTAAAATGAATCACTCTATATGATTAAAGTGCATAAATATTTTTGCCAATCGTTATCGCATTTCTGGTTTTTGTCATTTTATTCTATTTCATAACAGCACAAAAATTTCTCGAGTTTTTTAAGCAATCCAACTAGGGTTACATACCGCCATTCTGTGTCGTATTTAGGTGAGGGCAATAGCTCCGAGTAGCACATTTTAAGGGGCATAATTTCAGAGAAAATGTCCTTATTCTTGCAAAAAAGGTATTTTTGTAAATTAAAATCCGATAGATTGAATTTTATTAGAATATATATATATATAACTATATACCCAAAAGAATTAATTTAGCATAGCTACAATTAAATATTTTATTCCTAGGACAGCAAAATCTTAAATACACCTATGCTGTCATTAGACATTGACCTTATATTAAAATTCAATGTTTGAATGGACTTTTTTTTTATTACACAAGTGACATTTTAAAAATTTTAATTTAAATCTAACAAACTTATGGTTTTTGTGTATCCTAGATTAGACTCGAGAATAAGTTTATTGATTACTCATTGACGCGCGTCGTAAGTTTTGATAATATCACATAATTTAGAAAAAGTTTTTTTTGAAATCATCTTCAGTACAATCATGCGTATATAATGATGTACATAAGCTTTATGCTTAAAATCCTTGATTGCACTTGATATAATTCCTTTAACAGGACCAATAACTAACGAACAGTTTGACACAATAGATAATACTTTAGGAATTTCTCTATAACATCGAAGTTGATACCTATCGATAGAGCAGTTAAAATGTTTAGGGACTAAAGATGTATCCAATTTATTTTCTGGTTTTTCCCCTCGATATTGTTACGTCACTATTTAAGGGTTGAGCCTAAATGCTCGTCAACAGTATTCTAAGTGACCAACGAGATATAGCTATAATAGGCTATATCTACCTTAGGTAGTTAGGTTTTCTATTTAATTTATATTCTCTTAGAGGAACTATCAAGGATCGCACTACAATATATATATATATATATATAACACTCTTGGTTAACAACGATATAAATATTTATTAAGCGAAGAAATATTAAATAAATAGTACAACATGTTGGACACCTAGAGACGATATAATTCAACAGGGAGCTGACGGCGACACACACATTATTTACGTGGTAGGTAATTTAAGTTAAATATAAGACAAAGAGTAATGGTCGCGATGATGGTAAAAAGTCAACTGATGGTCGGGATCATAACTAGATAATAATTCGTATTATGGCATGGAATCACGAAAGTGTTTATGTGTGCAGTCAGTCCTCCTGTTAGTATTGTTGTATGTCATTGTGTCAATTATATATATATTTATAAATATATATGTCTAATAAACGGTACAGTGATGTTATGGGAGACAGAGATATGGGCACATGCAAATGTGATCGTATCAATATATAATAATTATGTTATTATATATTATTTAATTATTAAATTTCTAACAAATGCGTGTGTAGAAAAATAATTATTTTCAGATACTACCTCAGAGGTAGAATATTCTGATGAAAACTTTGATTCACTCAGTAATTGTTTTTCGCCAATCTCTAAAAGTGTACTACGCATTTTCCTAAACACAAAAATCCATGACGTGATTTTTATAAATAAAAATATTCAATTTTGATAATACTTGTAAATTATTTCCCAGTGTACTGGAATGTTTTAAGTCGACGGATTTTTCATTAAATTAGGTACTATATGAATCAATAAAAATTTATGTGTCGGGTGTTGCAACAAAAGATTCTTTAAAATGGAATAACTGACAATCATACGGTTACCTTCCAAAATATGTTGCATTATAGATAACAATTTTAAAACCGCAAAGTTGTCCTTCTCTAGAAATAAATTTTATTAAATTTCACAAAAATAGATAATAATTGTTTTAGTATTAATACTCTTTACCATTACTATCTAAGGTGTATTTGTCAAAAAGAAATATACCATCACTTAGTTCATAGATTTTACTAAATATAAACGATATATAATATATATATAATATATAATATATATATCGATATATATTGAATAATCACGTTGTCAGTTTCAAATGGTAGTAAAACAACGACAAACATGGTGAATGTGGTAAATTCGTTTTTCAATTTTCAACAATGTATGTTCCTATACCTAACGCGCGTATTACAAGTTGTTCCAGTACAATCATAAATGTATTAACATTATTTGAAGGAGATTTGTAAATTTCAAAAAGTATTTTATTGTATAAACTATTATAACATTCAGGTCCTTTAAATTTGTATCCATGCGACCAACTATTCATTCCGTCGCAATTAATTATTAGAATTTGTTCAGGGTCAATTCCCCATCCACTTTCTATAAAAATATACAACTTCAAATTATTAGCAAAAAAAATTATATTCAGTTGACTCACCAGTATACTAGTGAGTCACGAAGATATAACAAATCCAATAACTTTTGATCCGATAATCATTTCACAGTAATTTCTTTTTAATAACATTGGCATTTTTAGACTATGTTTTAAACACGTTCTTTATTATTCGTCTCTAATAAGAAAAAAAGAGTAAATTTTTGTAAATTTTACAATAGCCATTTTTTAACCCTTTTCTTACAAAAAATTTGGTGGATCAATAACAAATTTTAGGACAAGTTACTCGTAGAGTTACAAGGATATGAATACAGTAGTGGTTAAGTTTTTCAATATGATAGGTAAAAATCACATAAAAGCGTTTATTTTATGTTATTTCAAATGATTTATTGAGAAACGTAATATAGATTGATACGATCACATTTATATTTATATATTTAAAATCTAAAAAAAATAGAAATAGCTAATTTTACGTTGCTAAATAATTAATCATTATTCGCCTGTGGTTTGAATATTTTTAATTGGATCGACTTGAAAATATTTTTCATCAAATTTAATTATCCAAATAACATGTAGAAAAAAAAATTACGTAGTTGGATGTTAGTAAAATTTTTTAGAAAGCCTTTAAAATGATTTGATGACTAAAATTTGCTGTATTTGCAAATATAACATTTTTAACGAAACTGTAAGTAAAAATTAAGTTGCAAATTGAAATAATGCAAAGTAAGTGTTTTCTTTTTTTAAGTTTATGAACACATTATATAAAGAAAAAAGTTTCATGCATTTATTTGATGATTTAAACATTTACGATTGTGTTACAAGCTCAAAATCTAAACGCGTGAAATATAAAATTTGGTGATGTCTTATAATTTTGACCACTATTGTACATAGAGAGGGTATGTAGTGTGGGTGATGCAGCTCGTACTAATGTACGTTAGTACCCCACCTAAGTTCAATAACTACTCTATATATAAATATGCTTAAAACTCAATAAGTACCGATATAATATCGATCCACTTCAAAAAAAAAAAATTGTATTTTTAATTTTTATCTTATTAAAGACAAATGATAATAAATATACCCTTAACGTAGTCTAAAAATTATTAAAAAAATATTATAATTTTAGACTAAGGGTTGGTGTAGATCAACTTTCGGGTTGAAAAACAAGTTGCCAAATCATCCAAGTGGTTACAACAGGCCAGCACTTCAATAGACATAACATTTTTAGTGGCTTCCTCATCCCAAAAAAAGAATTTAATTACTAATAAGAAAAATTTTCGACTAAAAATAAAAGTAAAACATTAATGCAAAAAAAACAACTTGGCTTTTTAAAAAAATTGATTGGATTTAGTTCGCCAGGTTTTCTGATGATGGTTGTATTTGAATGCATTCAACCACGGTAATACGGTAAAAAGTTAGTAGGGTGACTTCATCAGTGAATAAACAGTTAATAGTTTTACCTTCAGGTATATTGGCTTTAAATGTTTTTACGATTTTTTTGATAGTAGATTCCTCGACATCTACCATTATACACCGTGCTTTAAAACAGTTCAGATATTTTACATAAAAACATGCGTCTTCACTTATTTTTTTGTAGTTCATGTTTTCTTCTGATGAAACTCTATTATTAGATGACTGATTATCTTCATATAATTTACCATAATAATCAATTCCAAATTGTACAGCATATTTACCGAACCATAACAACATTAATGTCATGAGGTAATAATTTTATATATTTAGCTTAGGTCACAAATTATATAACTATATTTATCAAAACAGAACTATTATGAGGTATTTGAAATAATATTATTTGAAATATTAAATTATTTTTTTATAAATATATAATTTACGTTTATGTAGATACAAACGCACAATTAGCCACTTTTATAAAAAAATTATGCTATTTGTGTAAAGTTATACCAACAAAACTTTAACCAGCCTAGCCCTAGGACTAGATTTTTTATAATAATGTAGCTATATTAATAATAAAAGTCTCAAAAAGTGCATACTTCATCAAATTGTTGATGAATATTTAATAACAATTTTTATTTGCGGTTAAAGAAAAGTATAATTATACATAATCATCGTAATATTAATAACGTCATTGCACTGACATGTTGTAGCCAAATTTTTTGCTAGGTAGTTTTTAAAAGATTTTTTTTTTATAGTTTATTGCACACTTTACTAGCGTCAGTCACACACTGTTAGTAGTAATAATGTATCAATAGAGAGCCATGTCCCCTTCTTAGTCTTTACTACTGAACCACGTAGAACGTGGACCTTAAAAAACCCATCGAACCATAGAAGATTATTTTTAAGGAACTGCAAAACATTTTTTTTTGTTACGTAACCAAATCGAATTTACATGAAAAAATATATCAGTTCTTATTTGGATTTATACTGGTATACTTAAAATTTACCATACAAATTTATACTGTATTTAATGAAGAATACTTGACACTTCGGAAGACGTTAGTGTAATTTACACATATACGTATAGTTATGATGATTTCCTTCTCCAGCTGTTTTTTATCTTTCTAAATGATATCATTTATCTCTAATTATTTTTACAGTTTATTTAAAAAATATACTACTACGCGGTCTGTTAATTTAGTTAATGTTTGAACAGTGAAGTAATATCGCCCGTTATATATTTTTTAACACTTTTTGTTACACTTCATGAAAATGTAATTAAATTGTATCAATGTGAAAATAGTTCTCCTATTCAAAATAGTTAAAACTAGTGAAAGTTTATTTTTATAGAACTGGTTATTATTTTACAAAAAATATGACAGTCAAACGTTCCATTTCTTTTTTTTTCTTGTGGAACAATATTTATACTTGTCTACTGATTAAAAATAAAAATAGTTTGAATGTTATGTAATTCAAAAATTATATCAATATACAAAATTAGTAAATTGGTTGTTATATATTTTTTGTTAATTCCTTCAATATATTATGGAATCTAAAGAAAGGTATATTAAACTTTAAGGTTATTCATATTTTTTTAGAAAAGAAAAACAAATTTATAATTCAATAGTCAAATTAATATTTTTTATTTGATTAATTTTTGACATTTTGCAAATAGTGACTTGGAGTGCTAAAGTTTTATATTTATATCTAAATCAATTTAATCTTATGACATTAAATTTTTTTCCCCACTATTTACTAAGTTTTAATTAACAAAATAACCGAACAAAAATGATTTAATAAAAATATATTTATATTCTTACAAAAATATTCTTTAAGTATTAGTTTATGGTAGACATTTTCTTTAATATTTTGTTTTTAAGTGTTAAAATATTTGTCTTTTTTTTAAATCTATTGTAAATATTTTTCATAAATATTTAAAGTCATTATTAGTAAATTGTCAGTTAACAATTAATTGTTTAAGAGCAGTGCTGCAACTAGTAGGCTAGGGACCTATGCGTATATATTATTCCCTTCACTATAATTTTATGTTTATTTATAATGCAATAGTAAAAAATCTACAAAATTTTTTATTTTGGACATAATTTTTTCCTCATTTTTTTATATTAAAAATGAATATTGCTGTTAATGGGGATCACCATTTTCTATCTATATCAAAATTGGCGTACGAGCTAATTTTGGCCTGTGTGCCCTGCACATCCGGTTTTTAAAAAACTGGTTAGGGTAAGAATACATATGTTTTTTTAAAAATTGATGGCTATCAATTTATTGCGCTAGATCAATTTATCGCTGAATTACAAATTTATTTTTGTTTTAATTAAAATTTGATGTTTTAGTTATAATAATCAGTAGGTTTTAGCCATTATTAAGATTTCATGGTTTTAATTTTGAAATAAATTAAAAAATTTCAGTTTATATATATTTATTTATATTTTTTAGCTTCAATTAAATTAAAGAAAATTTATTACTAAAGAAAATTAAAAAAAAAACAATTATCAACAAATAAAATAAAAAGTAAAAATTATCAATAATAATAATAAGTACTACCCTTTAATATTTTTACTTAAATCTTTTAGTAGCCTATGCGAAGAAAGTAAAGAGTTCTTCTTTAATCATTTGAAAAACATTTATTTTTATTTTTATAAAATTCAGTTTTAGCAATGTACTGATCCACACATAATGATTTATCTACATGTGATGAATTGAACAGATACTGGATATAAATAACTTTAAGAGAATTTTATCGCTCTGCTTAATAATTTTATGGCTTAATCAACAATGATCAGAACAACTCCTAATTTTTTTAGGTTTTCACTATTGCTATTAGAACCTGGGGAGTACTATTTTGAGGACTACATAGCTTCATTAATAAACATCAATACTAATAATAGCCTAAATGGACGTTTGAAGATTTGTTCATTATCTTTAGTATTTGAACCAAAAGATCATCATTTTCCAATCATGAAATTGCCATTCACACAATGTGAATCAATAACTCAAAGGTAATTAATAGTATTAAATGGGTGATTATAAACCTGTCATTAAGTACAATTAAATTTTATATTTTAATAGGTAATAAAAAAAAAGTTAATTGCTAATATTTATCTATGTAGTTCAGTGGTTATAGTTGATATTCAATGAAAGTGGCTAAAATAAAATTGACTGCTTTATCCAAAACCTAGGTGTTATGAATAATTAATTCTTCTATATTAATAATAATATAGACAAGAAATGATAAATGACAGATGATTGACTCTCTTAGATCTTGATGTCTTTTTTTTTTTTTTTTTAACGCATAATTAAATTTATATATAAAAAATTTGTGTAACATAATGTAATTCAATAATTTTTATGAAAGCTAAATATTTAAGAAACGTTTGGCATTGTGATTTACATTTCCTTAAAAAAAAGTAGAGTTCTAATTTTAGGGAACACTAATTAAGTTATCAACAAGTTTTGCTACAGTTTTTTAAAAATAATTAGGTAAAATTTTATAAAAGAGAAATGTTTTTTTTTTCATTAATAACATTGCTTTATTTTATCTTTTTCATGTAAATACATATATTTCTTTTAAGAGACCGCTAAGTACTTATTTTTGCCCATTAAAGCATATCTTAATTAAATACAGATTCTTGAGGACTGATATATAATGAATAAAATAATTAATTTTGACAATATTATCTACATACCTGCATGATTTTAGTTAACTGTTAAGTTTATGTTTATGTTAAGTTTCAATTGTTACATTTTTAAAAATTCATATTTGAAAATATATAAAATTTTCATTTTTTACAAACACATCTTTTTAAAAAATATGCATATCAAAAATCAGTCATGTAAAGAAGTAGAGAATATTGTCAACTTTAATGTGGTGGATTGATCATATTTCTAAAACTAGAAAGTCTTAGTCTTTTTTCACCTAGTTATAAAAATATTAATAACTTTTGAAATATTGGTTTAAAAGTTAGATCAGGCATTTTCTTAGTTTGATCATTTTCTTGTTAAATATGTATGTTGCTATTAACTAAAATATAGTTATAAGCATGTATAGGATATAATAGATGGATCATAAATGTATTTGAAACTAAAAAAGACAAAAAAAATATTCTATATTGGTTTTCTTTTGTAAGTAATCGAGTGGATTGGGATAGAAGAATTTCCCATAGTATAAAAACTACATAATAACATTATTTAGTTGTATTTTATATTTCATAAAAACTTACATAAAGAATAAGAAAATATGACTTCCTTATTTAGAACATATTTTTTACTAAATATGAAACTATCATGGTTGAGCTACAATAAAATCTAAAAAGTTGTAAATTCTCTCTAAAAATAGAGGAAATAATTCTTAACAAGTAGCCCTAATTTTGTCATTATAATCTATATTAAATAACTGCTTTTACATATAAATCCATTAAGCATTACACAGGACAATAAATAACAAAAACAATGTTATCATCTACAATTGTTATATGAATTCTATAAAAAATTTTGATGCTGATTCCGAATTTGCTTCAGATTTTTTCTATCACATATTCAGCAAATCACTTATAAATCTTTCTTTATAATTATAGAAATAATTAATTATATAATTGTCATACGTAAAATTTAAATACATTATTGTATTTATTATTATAAAGTATATATGATTATGTATTATATCATTACTCAATTACTTCAAAGTAAAACATATCAGAAATGTATATAAAAGAAGTATTTATTGCAAAAAAAGATATTTCTCTATTTTTTGTATTGACAGCAAATTTTTCACTTTATAATTACTCAAAATGAATACAATTAATATTGTAGTAACTACAATAAAATTCTCTATTTGTTGGTTTACGATTTATAATTAAAGTTAAACAAAACAAAAAGTTCAGTTTTTTTTTTTTTGGAAATGACACTCAAAATCAACATTAAGAATTCAAAAAATCAGTTAAACTTAATGGATGCTTAAATCCGTCTGTATATATTATTTTGTAGTTATTGTAGCTGGATTTTATTATTTTATTGAATTTATTTGTTTGTTTTGTGAGCTTAGGTTAAAAAAAATGGTAGCACAGTTGAGTCACAGCAGTGTGGATGTGGCATTGTTGGGACAAGTATAAATGATATCTGACAGTGATTAAAATTATTATCATAAGAAACACTTCTATGCAAATCTGTAGATAATGTTTAATTTTAAGAAATTGGTGGATTATTTTACAAGCAAAATTAACTCCTATTTCCTTATTTATATCCTGATTAAGATAAAGTATGTCGAATGAAAAAGGGATTATTAAAAAATAGTATTTTAAAATAGTATGTAACATAAGTGGATGAGATAGATGATGTAGATGGATGAGAATGAAATGTGAATGTATATGTAGAATGTAAAATGTAGATGGAATGTTAGTAGATAGATGAGTGGAGTGACTAGAGAAGATAAGATAAGAAATGAGCATATAAAAGGGACTATAGGTGTAGCGTCAATCGTGGATAAGATGAGAGAAAATAGACTTATATGGTTTGGTCGTGTTATGAGAAGAGAAGAATTGGAAGCCGTAAGAACAGTTGTAGAAATGAATGTTGAAGGAAGAAGAGGTAGAGGAAGACCAAAAAAGACATCTGATGTGAGCGTAGAAGATGTAAGAGATTGGTTGGGTTTGGTTTCCACTAGACACGATCTCCATGTCATGTGGAAATTTTAGGATAAGGGTGGCCTACCCCAAGTAGTTGGGATTAAGATGAGGAAGAAGAAGAAGAAGAAGATAGTATGTAACATAAACTTTGATTTAACATATGTTTAAAGAACGCATTATTTCCAAAACATTTTCAATAGTTAAGTTAAAAAAATTAACTTTTGTGAAAAAATTGCTAATCTTTCCCTGTGGGTAGTAAATAATCAGGTTTTCAAAAAAGTTTTATCAAATGAAACGATCTCAGCTTCTTATAAATCTAAAATCAATCAATATTATACATTTATTTTGTTAAATTTCTATTTTTTATAGAAATTTCCAATAGTCAAACACATTTCTAATTTACATCACTAGTTTATGGCTTTTGTTGCTACAGACTTCTTTAAATAAATATACATGAATGTGTAATTATTTTGATTTATAGCCTGGAAAAGGATTCAAATATTATTATTATTATAAGTAAACAATGCATTGAAATGTTGGAAAACAATATTTTAGAGCCTTACAAATTTAATAATGTAAGTATATAATCAGTCTTATTAAATTTGTAAAGATAAATTAGTAAAGCAATTTCACTTCAGGATATATCTTTTTTCAAAATTCAATTGCAGTACGCTAATATTGATGATTGTTTATCTTTAATGCTACAACTTCATAGAGCATCATCTTTACAAACTCCAGAACATAGACACATGGTAATTATAATTTAATTGGTTATGTATTCATGATGCTATCATACAGTTAAAATTTATTTCTTCTCTTTTAAGTTTAATAAGTTTTTGTGTAAGGATATTCTAGTCTTTATGAATAAACTTAAAAATGCTATAAAACTTGAAGAATAAAATTACTCTTTTTTTTCTTTGATAATTTCTATACTTCTATGTACTTCCTATAAATACTTAATGTATAACTTCATAATATCTAGGCAGCAGCAATAGCATATGGAAGACAATCATTAAGTAAATTTGATCCAACATGGTTAGAACTAGGAGAAGAAATAATAATAGAAGTAGTCGGACAAAAAATAACACCATTGAGCATAAATCCGGGTCGAATAGTATTGACAAGTTTACATGTATATTTTCAGCCATTTAATAATATTGAAGTTGTAAGTTGTTTTACTTTTGAAAAATGATTACTAAAATATTTTAAATTATTGTTTTTATCGCTTTAACTTAATACTTTCAAACCATATAGAAGAAAAAATAGTTAAGTTTCTAAAAATTGTCTTAACTCAATCACCTAATATAAAATAAAAATTTTATTATGAAACCAGTAACCCTGATGTCAATGATACTTTGTAAAAAAAAAAGTTTTTTATTAATTAAGTATTTCATTTAAAGTTAAAATTAAAAAATCTGTTGCTCAAATCAAAAATATTGGATATATAATACTTTTACAGTACTTCCTTTTAAACTTATTCACATATTAATAGATATCATTATGAGGAAAAAATGCAATCTTATATGTAACACATATTTTATTATTAGCTAATTTACTATCATATCTAATTCTCAAAACCAAAGTTACAGTAAAGCAAAAAACTATTATTATTCACTTGTCAGTAAATGTTATTTTTGTTTGTTTTTTATGATAGATAAGTAGATATTTTTAAAAAATGTATATAATTATGTATCAGAAACTCAAAACTGCATTAAAAACTGATACTATATTTTTGGTATATTGTAGAGATTCAACAACTGATTCAATTATTTTTGTTGTTATTTAACTATTTTAAAAATTAATTCTTGTAAATATATTTTTTTCAAATAATTTATCTTTATAATTATAATACTATGAAATAAAGATATTTGTAAAAATTTCTATTGTATTTTATTTTGTTTCAGAAGTTGTACATGAAAATAAAATTATCTGAAATAAAAAGAATCACAAAAAGAAGATTTCTTTTGCAACAAGTTGTGAGTGAAATTTTACATTACAAATATATTTCTAACGTAAAATTGCAATAATTACATTTAGATATACTAAAATTGAATTAGTAAATCCAATAAAATGGATAAGATTCACGTGGTCCAATTACTTAAATTTTTAATTCAAGTTTTTAGTTATATATATATATATATATATTTTTTTTTTTAATTAAGCCCAATAAAAGCAATAGCGGCCTCCCATAGATTTTCTTAATCATTCATATTCCAAGATTGTTGGTTAGTCAATCACCGAAATATCAGTTATATTATTAAAATTAATTTAAATTTTGTGATTATGAAAGTTATTGTGTCTTTAATATTAAAGTAAAATTATTAAAAATTGTTCAGTTTCATTACAAATTGTTAATTGTAGTTTTAAATAATTACAAGTTTATTATAATTAAATTAATAAATATAAAAGAATTTTTATTATTTATTTGGAAAAAATATTGTTAAATTATATTTTTTTATGTAGATATGTATACATATTAATATGTATAAACTATAAAAGTTTCAAATTAGTTTTATACTTTAATAGCCTGCATTAAAAAAAAATGAGGAAATTATAAACTGGTGCTGATAATTTCATTTAGAAATTTTTGGTATTACAATTTGTGTGTATCTAAATTACTCTTATAATATTTAGCATAGAATTTTATAACAATTAGGTGGTTTTTGTAATTGTTATTATCTGATTCAAAATAATTATTGTGCACTGTTATATGTATTATATATTTAGTATACTTATTATTTAAACTAGTAATATACATAACATTTATATATATACATATATTTAATTATAGTTCATAATAATTTTATATAAATTATATCTAATTATAAATTTTTGTAAAATAATAATAATAATTACATAATTATTGTAAAAATGATTGTCTCAAAAATCTAGACTTAATGTGGAATCCTGAGTTCTTTTATTTATATATTAAAATTATAATAAAAAATTTAATTAAATAGACATAAAATATAATAACAACAAAATCAAAATAAATAGTTTAAATTTATGATTAATAAAGCAACTTGTTGTAAAGAAATTATTTCATCAATTTAAATTAAAAAAACAATTTACAGTTATTTGATTGAGAATATTCTTTTATATCTATGACTTCAGTTTTATATTAATGTTTAGAACTCATTACAGAGTTCATCTTCAGAGTAATATTTTTAGGTCCGATTCTGTAACTATACTATTCAAAACTTAAGACTTGAAGGAATGGATATATTTCTAAATATAAAAATATATATCAATCTTCGTAAATTTTGTCTGCATTATGTTATAGAAATAGATTTCATACTTAAAATATACTTTAATGTATTCTCATTTTAGGGCATTGAATTTGAATACGAGTCAAATTTACAGTTGTATTTGACATTTAAAACAAATGAAATACGAGACAGAGTCTATAGTTTATTGGTAAATCAAACAAAACTAAAAATAGAAAATAGTGATAGATGTATTATGACACTAAAATGGCAAAATGGGGCTTTGTCTAATTTTGATTATCTACTCTATTTGAACAGGTAATTAAAAATAAAACTGAACAGGTTTTACATTATGTTAAAAAAAAAAAAAATTGTTAAATTCATTCAACATAAATGTTTTAGTTTGGCAGATAGATCATTTAATGATCTTACGCAGTATCCTGTATTTCCATGGGTAGTTGCAGACTATACTTCATCTAATTTAGATTTAAGTAACTCTAAAATTTTCCGTGACCTAAGGAAACCAATTGGTGCTATAAACACAGAACGACTCTCAAAACTTCAGGTATATTAATTATTTAATCCAATAAATCAATTTTATTTTGTTTTTGTGATAATTTATATCTTATAAATACAATTATTTATGTATTCTTTTTGATCAAGTATTTTATGTCGAAATTATTAAGTTCACATTTTTGTTCATTAATTGAATTGAAATTGTTCAATCATATTGTAAGGATCTAAGTTATTCTCAAGATTACATGTAATAAATTAAATATTATTTTTATACATTGAATATTGTTAGATACTTCACTCTTTTGGACCCCCATTACACTATTATATACTCATTTTTTTTTTTTGCTTTCAACGCCAAAAAATGATAATATCATTTTTTGCTTATATTATAAGCAACCTCACTATAGTAAAAATTTGTTTGAACCTTAAAATAGTTTAAAACTAAAATATTTTTGTAGCCTATTCAAGGGTTACCCACTAATACAAATATTATTTAAAGTCATTTTAACTAAAAATTATTTGTATAAAATGTACTGATAATAAGCAGATTCTAAACTTTAACCATGATTTAAATATAAAATATATTTTTAGGAACGATACAATGAAATGAATATACCAAAATTCTTGTACGGATCTCATTATTCAACACCGGGGTTTGTGTTATTTTATTTAGTGCGAAAATATCCACAGTATATGCTTTGTCTACAAAATGGTAGGTTTGATCATCCAGACCGAATGTTTAATAGGTATGAAATTTTATATTACTATTCTAGTACATTACAAAGACCAAATCGACCAAGTGAATAAACAATTCTTTTTTTTTTTAAATTGATCTCTTTGTTATACACGGAAGTTTTAATATATAGTTAAATATTTTTGACTGTAAAAAATATTTAAGAGAATAAATTTATATAATAAAGGTGAACAATTTTTTTTCTTTAAATAACTAAATTCATTCAAATAAGACACATAATTAAGTGTTAATTGTTTAAACTATTATTGTTCATTAACATTAATTCAATACTAGGCTCCGCCTAGCTGGGGCTCCGCCCCAGACCTGGGACCCTACGTACCTTACGTACCAAAGTGTAAGCCTCTTCGGGCCATCATCATAAGAACGCCACTGATTACGGTAGGAGTACCTGACTACACCTGTCACGATAAGTGTTTTGCAGAAAAAATATTACATCAGAATCAGTGTAACAAAAATATATTAAAAATATTATTATTAAAATCAGGAAAATTCAAAAAGAGAATATAGTAAAATGTATTGGGTATAAGATTGACGTTTGTTAATGAGGTATTCCCTTTAGGCGTATTCAAAAATTATTTTAGGAGGATATTTAATATATTTTTTCCTTTGTTAAACATACTATAGAAATCTTTTTACTAAAAAACAAAGTGATGATCAAAAAAAAAGAGGCATTTAGTTCTTATTTCATAGAAGTTGCCTAAAAAAATATTGATAGCGCTGGTTCAAGGGGGGCCCATATCTCCCTTAAATACACCCCTGATATACCCAAAAATTATTAATATTCTAATTTTAATAATCGTGATTATATTATAAAATGTGTGGGACTATGTAAAAAATTTAATTTTTATAAAAATATTGGTAACTGTGATTTAACGTTGACAACATAGTTGTTATAGATGAATCTCAATTTAAACGATAAACTCATAGATTCATACATCATATATGATATAAAAAGATTATTAATAATGTACTGTTCTGATAATGAAAGTACAAACTTATATAATTATAACCGTCTTGAAATTTATATGTAATATATAAGATTCCTCGATATAAAATATATAGCACTATATAAAATATAGTGTTATGCGCAAATGCAAAATAGTGTCTTAATAAAAATACATATTACATCATATAATTAAGGGTCAGGATAAACGTTTGAGCAGAAATAAGTCAATGCGCATATTTAAACCAATAATTTTCCCTGAGTCTGATGACCGAGTACTTTTGTTGAAAAAAAAAATTTTGAAAATCCGAGCACACTTAGTAATTTTTCCAGAAAAGCGTTTTTTTCCTTCTTCTATTATATAATAAGATAGTATGTGTTTAATATAATTCGCTAAATTACTTGTAAAATATTAAAAATTTCAAGAAAAAAAAATTGGGGTCATTAATATACAAATTTTTATCATATAGTTTTAAGTATCTTAATCAATAGTCCTATTTCTTTTCTAATTAAAATTTTTTTTGAATAATCACTTCAATTTTTTTACAATTTATTAAATTAATAATTATATTGTTTAGTATATATGATGCATGGAAAAATGTACAAAATAACATGTCAGATTTCAAGGAATTGATTCCTGAGTTTTATGATATAAGCCAAAACTGTGATTTTTTAATAAATAAATATGGTGTTGACTTTGGGTATCGATATGATGGGCGTAAAGTTGGAAATGTTGATCTACCAAAATGGGCTGAAAGTATGTTAAAACAATATTTAAAATATTTATACTATGGAAATTTTTAAAACTTAGTATTTAAATTAGGCCCTACTGATTTTGTGTATAAACTACGACAAGCTTTAGAATGTGATCATGTATCTAACAATTTACAACATTGGATTGATCTTATTTTTGGTTACAAACAAAATGGTGAAGAAGCTGTTAAAGCTAATAATGGTAAACATGTCTTAGATAGTTTATTGACCAAACATAGAGTTAAATTTTTATAAAGCAGTTGTGATAATTTTATATGTTTATTACAAGAGAAACTAAGGATTTCTTTAGGTGGTATAAGTAATATAGTAATATAAATTATTTATTTTAATTTTGAAATTATCATTTAAATATTAATTAAGTCTTTTTTATTAATCATTAAATATTGTGTTTTGACTATTTTATTTAGTGTTTTACTACTTATGCTATGAAGGAGCAGTTGACTTAAATAATGTTCGAGATTGGTATCAGCGACATGCATTAGAAATACAAATTATGGAGTTTGGACAAATACCTAAACAGATTTTTGAAAAACCACATCCATCAAAAACCTATTTATTTATTAAAGATATTGAACAGTTAGGTAAAAAATTATAATAATTGATATTTTTTTTATGGTTAATTATAAAATTTATCATTGAAAGCTACATTTTTAAAGTATGTTTAAATTTTCTATTTATCAAAAATATTATAATACTAGTATTGTTTAGAATGAGACATTGTGCACCTATATCATTAAAATTGTTAAATTTAAAAAAAAAAATAAGTTTTTCAAGATGTGAATGTGTAAAAAACATTTACTAAAATCATGTTGGAATCATTAATTGGCTCTATAGTATTCAGCATTTCTAAATAAATTTTTGTTTAAACTATAAGTTTTAATCCAGGTATGTGATATATAGGTTGCACATATATACATATGTATATATAAATCAATTTTCCTATACAATAGGATAATTTATTATTTTTTACAAGTGAAAAATATGTTCTAATTATTGTTTAGTTTTTAAATTCAATTATTTTCTATTGATTTTTACGCCATTAAAATGAGTTAACATTTTAATATTCTCTCTATTTGTTGTACTAATAATATTATTAATAGTTTGTTTAGTATAAGCAAAAGTAAGTTTTCAAATAAGTTCATAAGATAAAAAATAAAAAATTTCAATGAGTTAAAATAAGATATCTGTTCTAATAAGAGATTTGAATTATCAAAATAATCTTTTAAAAGAATATCCTTCAAATTCTAATGGATTATTAATTGTATAAAAACGTTATTTTATTAATCAAAAGATTTGTTAATTTAATTATCAATTGATATCCCATTTCATACAAACAAATATTAATATCAATACAAAAGTATTAATACTTTTGATACATTTTTTTTTTTTATTATTATTTTAGGTATAGAATCAAAAAAAGATATTTATTGGGATTGGAGAATTATTAACTTAACAAAATATTTTACTTCTTCTCATAAAGATGCAGTTAGCAGTGTGAGATTTAGTTATGATTTAAAAACTGTATGGTCTGTGGGATATGATGCTATGCTTAAAGTTCATTGTTTATCAACTAAAAAACAAATCCGTAATGTTACAGTTCAAAAATTTCCAGTCAAATTTAATGATATTATTTTGCCATCAAAATATCCTTCTACAGCTATAATTGCTACTATGCATGGTTCACTGTAAGTTACCTGTACTTTTTATATTTTGTTATTAAAAAATGTTAATAATTAGTAAAGTGAACCTATAGTACTTAAATAGTTCTAAAGTCACTTAAGAAAATATGTAATAATAATAGATAGTTAATCTAATTACATTATATGTGTAATGATGATTAAAAAAATATCAAATTATTATTAGTTAGTAGTTTAATAATTATTCAAATAAAAACAAAATATAAAGTAAATAATAATTTAAAATAAAAAAGAAAAGAAAGGAATTAAAAAGAAAAAAATTTGGATTTGTGTCCTTTAATAACTGGAAGAATCAAATATTTATTGTACATCATTAAAAAAATGAAATAAAGAGAAATCATCTAGCTGTATTTTTAAAAAAAAATTACAGAATTGTTTATGACATTGAATGTTGTCGTATAGCAGATGATTTTAGAGCACATGAAGATTCAATAACGTGTTTAGGTTGGACAAGTAATGGCTTTTTAATAACTGGCTCAGAAGACGGTTCTGTACGTATCTGGGAGACTCCTAAAACTCCTTGGACAAATATTGATTTGAATAAATCACTAAAGGCAGAATTAGAACATGAAAACAAAGTAAATTGCTTGAGTATTTCTTTGTAAGTATTACTTTTCTCTATTTTTACAGTAAATTACGTAATTGAGTTATATAAAATGATTAATAAAATAACTATTTGCTATATGATTGTTCATACTCCACATATAATTAAAATAATAATTTTATTAATAAAACTATTATTATTACTTTTTCAAATAATTTCACATTTTTTAAATTAATCGATTACATACAACAGCAGCCATGTTGTATACCATATTTAGGAGAACTATTTATGAAATTTCAATACTGATTCCAAAATTGGCTTATTAATCAAGCTTAACTGTTATTTAAGACCTTTAAATTTAAGCTTAATAGACATTTTTCCGAAAATTAAAGTTTAGCTTTCTATTTTAATTATTTGTAGGTTAATTTTATAAAATATAAAATTTCTATTAATAGATACTGTATTTTTCATTACTTAGTGCCTATACTTTAGGCCAAACTTAGGTACTAAGTTATTCAACTAATTATAAAGAAAAACTATAAAAAAACTTGTAAATATTTTACAACTTATGGTTGGTCACTTGGTCATTGGAAAATAAATCAAACTTGATTAAATCATAAAAAATTGTCATATGAAAAATCAAAATACACCATTATCTTAAGTGATAATAAATATTCAAGGCTGTTATTTATTTTTAACAAACCAAAAACTGTAAAAAAAAAAAAATTGCTTTTTTACTGGTTGGTTATGTACCATATAAAAGAAAGATTTTTTTTCTATAAAAACAATTTAACTTAATGAACTGACTTCAAGTTTTACACAATCTTAAATTTTATTAGAAAATTAAAAGATTGTTTAATTGTTTTATTATTTTTCAATTATCTATTAATAATTGTCTGAAAAACTATATGTGATGGAAAAAATTTAAAGTCAGATTTGGAATCAATATCAAAATTCCAGTATAACTTCAAAAAAAGTTAATGAATTTAACTACCATTAACTAGAAACAGCTGTCATTAAACTGTGTAACAATATTTTATTTTTACAGGTTTTACTGTATAAAAACCAGTTCTACTATGATAATAAAAATATATTATTCAGTGATTTATATTAGTTTCAATTATATTGAATATTTATTTGTTATAAGTATTATAAGTATTATCGTTATAACTATATAGCTTAGTCACCCTAGAAAAAGAATTAGATCCCTAAAAATGATAAAGTTACATTTATTTTTATTATAATTATCCTAGTATAATTTAAGTATTACTTTTAGGAACGAGAAATATTTGGCAACCGGAACAAATACTGGCGAGATATTTTTGTGGACTTTTACAGACTTTTCATTCATACAACAAGTATCAAGTTAAGTAATTCTCATTTTGACTTTATATCTAAACTAAATTTTCGTTTTGTTCTTGTTTTAGGCCATACAAGTAGTGTAAATAAATTGAGTTTCAGTCCAGATTGCTCAAAATTAATTTCATGTTCAGATGATTGTAGTTTTAAAGTGTTTGACACAATAACTGGTTTAGAAGTTTATTTTAACAAACTTCAGTGTCCATTGAAGTAAAAATATTTCTTAATTTATTTATTTTAAATTGAAAATGGGGACTACTCAACCATGTAATTTTATAGATGACAATATATATATATATATATATATAATGATGAATGAATTTTTAAAATCTTCAGCAAAAAATTATCATTAATTTCACTCATTTCTCAAAGACCCTTTTTTTTTGCATAACACCACACCTAGTTATATTTCATTTAGAATGTATACTGTGTTTTTACTGTTTGTCATTATTACGATAAAACACTTTTGAAATCAAAATATGGAATAATTTTAATTTTTGTAGTAAATTTTTTTCAGAAAAAAAAATATTCCTTTTGTAAAATAAATTTATAAACTACATTGACTAATGTATTTCAGTTCAAAATTGATGTAATTCTTATGTAAAATGATATATGTATAGAATTCATAATTTATATTGATTCTATATTATTGCAGATATTTATCTTTATTAAATATAGGATTTTTTTTTTATTAGTCATTATCATTAATTATTTTGATATCTTGAAATATGAATAACATTTAAGGGTTAATAACTTTTTTTTTTATTATTTAGATGTTTTGCATGGGATGGTTACCATTTATATATTGGTGGCCAAAATGGAATTTTGTATTTATGGGATTTAGAAAAATTCATGCTTATTAAAGAGATTGAGACACATAAAGGTACATATAATATATTATTATATTAACAGACAGGGATAACCCGGTGTGTTAATGACATGGAGACATTTATATGTTAATTAATGTTATAATGTTATTAATGTACTTATGTTATAAGTAAATTTTTATACAATTGTATAGTTAAATTCAGAATAACACTTTTTATTCTAGGAAAACTTCTCTCGATTGATGTGTCGCAAGATGGTACCATGATTGCCACAGCTGGTGAAGATCATCTAGTACATGTTTGGAAAACAAAACCATAATATTTATATTTAAATAATGAAGAAAATTTTATATTTTATTAGCTATAATTTTTGTGATATTTATAATATGAATAATTTTAAAACTTTTAACTGTATAATCATAGTTTATTTTTGTATACTCTGTACTCTATATAAAATTTTTTATATTTTTTCAAGTGAGTGTTAATAAATCATAAACTTATGTAATTTTTAAATTTAACATTATTTTAAGTTAAATAGTTCTCATTTATAATCAAGATCATATTTATGGATAGAAATCTTAAGGTTATCTTATCAATTAAAAAAAAACCATTTATTTTCAGTTAGAAGAAAAAAATTTTTCTAATTTTTATTTTCCAAAACCTAGTTCTATAAATAGGCTATCGTATATAAGATAAATATCTAATAATAGTCTCTTTCTTCAAGAATTTTTAGTTCCATTCTAAATGGATATTATTTTAATGATACAATTGTTTCATTTTAATTAACCCTTCAGTTTTCAAAAAATGAATGCTTTATTGGTCTAAATAACATTAAATATGATCATGTATATTATTATAGATTAATTATGTAAATTATTAAATACATAATTCTAGTGACAAGACTGGGTAATTTAATAATTTTTTCTTAAATTTGTGAAAGTTAATTTTGGAAATTGTGTATAAAATTAGAATCTTAATAATATAAATTTTTAAGCTTTGTTGAACTTATAAAACGCTAAATTAAAATTAAATTCATTTTTAGATAACTCCACTCATCTTAATGTTAATACAGTTTCAGGTTTAAAAAGTTCTTGTTAAATTAAAAGTTAAATCATAATTTTTATACAACTAACATAACATTAAACGAGTATATATACATAAGAATATATATATTTACACATACAAATATAATTTATTTATTATTTTAATAATAAAAATCTGTGTGGTTTTGTTCGTAATTTTGCAGTGATTATTTAATGTATTTATATATAAATAAAAAAAATGTTTACATTACCTAATGCAATAATAATTACTATTTTAAAATTACCTACAGATTTTAATCTGTATTTGTGGGTATTGTTACTCCAATTATTACATAATTTTGGAACCACTATCCTCACCACTTTCGATTGTTGTATTAGTACACGTTATCATTAAGAATCCTTTATTTAACTTAATTACTACGTTTATAGTCAGTACGAACGTACAACTGAAGTTAGCTATTATTTTATAACAATTACTATTCAGATACAAACCCTGGTTACTGAATGAATATTGCGGCTACCCACAGCTAGAGGGCGCCACCTATTCTACATAAAATATTATACTGTATTGAACATACTATTTGTCCACGATTTGGAATTTGTTTTTAAATTAATTAAAACGGCCTATTGAGAAATTTCTCATCTCGCAATCTACCAGTCCGCCATTACGAGTTAATACTTAATTATAAAAGTATAAGATAAATCTATAGGTTCATATATAATATATGCTTATTGTTATATTGTTTATAATATAATATAAAGACTATATTGTCCACAAAACTATGGAAAACTATTATAAGTAGACAAAGATCTTGAAACTTGTTCAAATGAATAGCTAGTTCATCTCAATATCTCAAGTACTGGTACAATCATCTGCACTTCTAAACCTATACTAAATTATGAGAAATCTTAAAAACTTTTATTTATTTATTTATTTAGGATAGAATACATTATTACAGAAAATGATAATTTGTTTGTAGGAAAACAATACATTTATTCCAAAAAATATAATTATATAAATATAACCAAGATTTTATTTCATGAAATTATCAGCACATTTTTTGAAAACTTTTGACGATTTTTTAGCATGCATAAACAAGGATGTAGTTTCTTCCAGTGGCAGCTCGTGGGTGCTAATGATGGGGATGCGTCTTAAAATAAAATATCACTAGTCATAGGTATAAAAAATTGTCAAACTAAATATAATAAAATAAAACACAATACATATATTATTATTTTAAAGGTCGCAGTTGAAAATAGAAATGAAAATAATAATAATAATAATAATAATAGCGTTTACACTATTATGGCAGCCGACGAGAATGACGAGCTTACACCCAATTAATTCTAAAAATAAATTACCCAATATTGTAATATACTAATATTTTACCGTATGGGCGACGCTGCCGGTCGTCCAAACACTGCTCGTGTGTGTATGCGTACTCGTATATACTGAGGGAAACATCTTTAATGTTCGCACCCGACAAATGTATTATAACTATAATACAGAATGTACAATTAATTTTCTTCTTTTAATTAATTATAGTAAGGGGTGCGATCGTCCTGTCGTCCAATCCACGAGCTGCTACTGTATAAAGGTGATAATCCGAACTACACAGCCGGACGATAGTGCGACCGCTACAAATCACATGAACTATTATAAATTTTATACTCTTAAGTATTATTTTATTATTTTCATGTGTATACAGAATGATCGAAATCTGGTAAGACACTTATTTTCTCAGAAACTATTGAGAATTTAAAATTTTTGTAAAAAGAAAAATTATTAAGTTTATAGAACTCTACAATAATATGAAGTTAAATAAATTTTAAAGTCTGTCCTTTATCCCTTAAGGATACTAACTTTAATTTTTTCATTAATTATTTTGAATTCGAGATATTTAAAAAATTGTTACTGAAGTCAATCAAGCCAAGCCAAGTCAGAGCGATCAATTCAAAAATTCGGATGAACTAAATAAAGTATCATAAATGTATAGTACGGTGAATATATCGCAAGATTGAACGTGACTCGGCGGCCAAATGGTAAGATAAAAGGCTCCTATCTTATTCAATAGTTACTCAGTTGTGTTCTCTTGGGCACGCGATATAGAAATAAGCAAACTGGCAACGCTGCTTTCACTTATTCTGTATAATTATAACGGCCTAATGTTGAAATCATTCTTAACGCTTATGAATACCACACGTTGCCAGCTTGCTTATTATTATATATTTTATTTGAATTTGTCGCCGTTTTTAAAATATCTGTTCCATCTCCTGAAAACGGTTGTTTGAAATATACTAAAACTATTGCTATTAATGGACCGTCTGGTTGAGTTATTTTTCTATTTGTTATTTATTTCAAATTAGTATTGTAAATAAATTGCATTTATAAAATGTATGTTGTTTATTATGGCGGCTTAGTCAATTTTTGGTACAAATTATTCAATTACCACTTATAATACATTATTGTTTATTATTTTGTTCTATTTTCAATAGAAATTGTTATGTTTGATGGACCAAATTTTCTTTTTGCATTTTATTTCAAACTAAATATATATATTGTAATTCACATTAATTAAATTATAGTTGAAAAGCAATCTACATAAGATTACCAATCCTGACGTAATAAAATCAACAAATTTAATACTTCATGGTAGACAATTTTACAATAATAATTATATTTTAACTTCAATTATAAATTATAATATAAATAAACGTTTGTTCTCCTTTAATATATTGATTATAATATTTGCTATGAACAATTGTTTTATCTTTAATGAAATTAGTCAATTTTTATTATTTCATTAACTTTTTTCTTTGCTCTGTCTATTAATGGAGAATGAACATTTCCATTTATTTTATAATATTTAGTATGTTTTTTATTTTTCAAAGCTAGTCCAACATAAGTTTTTTAACCGTTTTATAAGCAATTGCAATATTTAACAAATAATTTTATTAAATAAAATCATCAATATTTTTAACATCAGTTTATTGCATTAAAAAAATTTTCAATATTATATACACTGAAAGTTATAATTTCAAACTATTGTGTTGTAATTAGTCTACATTGATATTTAAACTTAACCACATTTTGTGTATTTTGTTTATTTTGAAACACGCGTTACACAGTCAATAATATTTTAGTAGGTTTCAAAACTAACTAATAGTACCTATTAATATGTATCGTAACACAATAAAAGAAAGGAAAACAGATGTAAAATGTAATTGTGATGTGTACAAAGATGAATATGAGGATGTGGTGCCTGCTGTCTAGGTATTCACGTGCGTGTTGTCGTACAGCAGTCACCGTGCTCGGCTGACACTCCGGGTTAGCTGTGGGTGTCGAAAGGCTGTTGTTATAGGAAGGGAGAATAAGAGTAACACCTAGGTATGAGGTGCAGACGAAGTGCAAGACACAAATACTTCAAAGAGAGAACGGGGTAGCCAAGTATAAGGTGCAGACGAAGTGGTAACGTGACACCATCACATATGTATGTAATTGGTACTTAGTTAAGTTTAAATATTGGATATAATTGAAATTGTTGGGGAATTAATTATTTAAATTTTAGCCAATTGTAAATCGTTTCTTTCCGTCCAAAATTAGAAAATAAAAGTTTTTTTAGAACTTTATACAGCTACCTACAAAACAATACCTTTAATTTACAATTAAAAAAAAAATTGTTTTAAGTATTTTTTGGTTTTAAAAACTTATAATTTATGAACTTAGGACTCAATTTTGGCTATTAACCGACTTTTTCTTTAACATATCTAAAATTAAAATTGCCCTCTCCCTAAAATGTTTAATAAGCTTAATTTTAATTTCATAGAAGTATGCCAAATATCGAATCATTTTAATAATAATCAGCGATTAAACTAAAATATATAATATCAATTATATTATTTATCCAACTACATAAAATATATTAATATTTCGGTTTAAAAAAAATCTGACATGCCTTAAATACACATTTTAAAAGTAAATACACGCCAAGAAAAAAAATTGAACCAAAAATCTAACCACAAAAATGCCATTACATAACATATATCCAAACTATTAATTAAGATGACGCCATACAGAAAATAAAACGATTTTAAACATGTTTAGGGAGGGAAAACTTTACTTGATCTGTATAAATGCTAGTGTCCCAAAATTTTTACCAAAAAAAAAACCTTTTAACTGCTCCCTCGACGACGATCATAACCAGTTATCTTATACTTGTTAGTTATCGATGCCCTGTGATACCATTTAGTATCAGTCGCTTATCTGAATTTATAAAAACATCATTACTATTGAAGGGTTATGGGACTTAAAATTGAATTTTATCATGTTCATTTTTACTAAAGAGTTACTCAATGATTTTTACACGTAAATAATAATGCCAACATAATGAAAATATCTATAGATCGGAAATCTGTCAGAAATTTGCATGGAGTTTTTATTCGTGACATTAGATAATATACT